ATCGATCTACCATTTATCTCTCCATGCATCCATCCAACCACCTGATGCTCCATCTATCCATCCTTTCCATCTGTCCATTTATCTATCTACCCATCCATCCACTCATCCATGCTTATTCCCAACTGTGTCCAGCATCGGTCTATCCAACCAACCATTTATTCATGCAACAAGTATGTATTGAGTCTTTGCTCTGTGTTAGGTGCTGGACACTAGGCATGCAGTGGGATAGAAAACAGAACTGGCTTGATCTTGGCACCATGGAAACTTGCTGCTAGTACAGGACATGGATAAACATAAGAAAATCGAATCTTACCAGGTATAGCCAGAATAAGGCAAGTAACCATGAGGCAGAGATGGAGCCTGAAGAGGACATTTAGATTTTGTAAGGATGAGATCCTAAGCTGAGACAAAAGCCAGCTGTGTGGAGATCATAGGAGAAGCATATCAAGAGAACAGGTATATGTGAAGACCTTGGGGTGGGAAAGGCATGATGCAGAGCAACATGGGTGGGCCATGAGAGAGAGAGACAGAGACAGAGACCCAGAGAGACAGAAAGACAGAGAGAGTATACAGCTGGACAGAGGCCAGATCTCTGTCAGGTGTCTGGATTTCTCTAGAAGTGCATAGGGAAGTCACAGATAGGACTTCTTTGTCGTTTTAAACTAACAATCACAACTGCACTGGAAGTGGAGGCCAGAGCAGGCTCAGCAAGCCACGTTGGGACAAATGCTGTTGTTAGCCCTCTGCCCTCTGTCCTCTCCCCTCCCTGCAGAGCAAAAGAACAGGGATCCAGCCGTGGGCTATACCCAGCCTGCCAGGCTTTGTGGCAAATGGATGGGCTGAGAAGCCAAGCCGGCAATCCACAGAGAATTTTTTTTTTCAATTTAGGGAGATGGCTGCTATCAAATCTGGATGTTAGCGTTAGGAATATAGAACTTGTGGTGTCTGTGGGAATTCAAGATTGGTCAGCTAGATGCCTCGGGCTGAGTTGAGACAAGAGCTCTATGTTGGAGATAGAGATCCAGAGGTATCTTGACCCCTGGGAGAAAGAATGATAGGGAAGAGAAAATAAGGAGCAACAGGAATTAGTGTTGGGTTGAGGGGACGGAGGAAGCTGAGAGCAGGGAGAGGTTACAGGAGCCAGCAAAGGAAGAAAGTTGTGCTATCTGCCCTGGAGTCCTACTGGACCGGTGGCATTGGAGGGTTACCAGAAATCATGAAGTTAGGGGTGTCACCTATGGATGAGAAAAGTGAGCTTTGGCTATAAAGCGAAAGAGGGAAACAGAACAGTAGCCAGAGGGAGTAGGAGATCAAGGAGTCGTTTTGTTTTGAAGATGGGAGATGATCTCATAAAGATCAGTGATCCGGAGAAAATGGAATTATCTGTGAGTATCAGGGCCAGGAGATGCTGAGTATTTTGGAGAATTTTTGGTTTGGGAGCAGAGTTGTCAGAGGCCCTGACAGGCTACTGAGGGGGTAGAATGAGGTATCTTCATCGGATGCTGTGTGTTGTGAATGCCGAAAGGAAGGAAGGGACACAGGGAAGTGCATTTAATGAGAGTCTGTTAGCAGGAAATAAAGCAAACACAGCCGGTGTTCAGGGGCTTTGTGCTGCTGTGTGGAGCTGCTCTGTGACATGGTGGTGTTGAAGGGCTGGAACAGAGGGCAGGAGGCCAGGGGGACAGGGTGATGGGCTGTCTGTGGTCACTGCATCAGAACAGGTGCATCTAACAAGACTGAAGTTAGTAGGGGAAAAGGACACCCGAGGCAGGAGAGGAGAAGGGAGAAAGAGAGGAAAACGTGGGGAGATAAGCATTCAGGGGGATGGTATGGTTTCTCGTGATGACCGTGTTCAGGGTGTGCCTCTGGAAGCCAGTGGATGAGGGGGAGGAGAGGAGGGAAGATCTCGAAGGCCAGCGTTCTGGTGAGTCATCAGGTGGATGTTGAAGTCATGGAGAATGGTATGAGCTGGGGTGGGGAAGAGGACGGCGAGTCCAGAGCTACAGTCAGCAAAGAATGAAGGGAAGTGATCTGGAGAGAGGCTGATGACAGCTTTAGTGGGGAGAGGGTGGTGCCATCAAAAGCAGGCGACTCCAAAGGGTTACGGTAGGGAGGGGAGGTGACCACGAAGAGTTCTCCATCTGGCATGGGGTGGAGAGCATTAAAAAAAAAAAAAGCAACCCTGGGGAAGTAGCATCCTCAGCCAGTCAGGTTGTACATGAGATAGGCTGAAAAGGATAAATGATCCTGAAGGAGGAATGTTGCTTCCTTTGATGGTATAGTACTGTTTGGGAAGAAGCTCCTATTGGCTCTGTTCCCTTATCCATCCATCCATCCATCCATCCATCCATCCATCCATCCATCCATCCATCCATCCATCCAACCCTCACTCACTCCTATCCATCTATCTACACATCCATCTACCCCTCCATCCATTCATTCACTCACGCACTTCTATCTATCTACCCACTGGCCTATCGATCCATCCATTCATGGGTGGGATGATCCATTATTTTCCCATCTATCATCCGTCCAACTATTGTTAAATCCAAGCCCTGAATCTTTGTCCCACATTGCTTGGTTTGGGCTTAGAAAAGTAGAAAGCACAATGCAGTCTGATTATGTTCTAATAGCAGGATCTCTGAGGAGGAGGAAGAGGAGGAGGAGGAGGAGGAGGAGGAGGAGGAGGAGGAGGGATGTTGCTTCAGTGGTGTTGACTGTATGGGGAAGAGATGTATGAATCAGATCCAAAGAGTGAGATCCACAGAAGGGGAAGCAAAGGCAAAGGATTCAAGATATGGAAAGAGAAAAAAAATCCCTAGCAATTTGCAAGTTTGGTGAGAGAGCCTGTGTCCTCTCAAGGGTTGAAACAGTAGAGAAGTGTCTGGAAGATGGCTGCTTACCTGCTGTACCTGGGAAGCAAAGGGAACCACTCAAGAAAACTGGGCCAGCAACTGCCACAGTTCTGTAGCTGATCATTACTAGAGGTGTGCCCAGATGTGTGCTACAGAGAAAAGTGACAGCCTCTCGGGGCCAGCTCACACAGCATCCCAGACTTCACTGTGGCAGGGACCTCTCTCCCTTACTGAGGGCACACATGGGGCTTAGGCAGGAGCATTAGCTGGCAGCCAGAGACCTCCTGTATGCCCATATGCTGTCTTCAGGCCGGACCTCCTACACTACACAGCTCTTTAACGCCTACCTCATCCATACAGTGGCGGGGGGGGGGGGGGGTCACGGTTCCTCCCTAGCTCCTAGTTCGATCACGCATTTGTCTATATACCTGCTTAGCCTGGCCTTACTTGCTTTCTACTATTTCTTTGGAACCCAGCTCACTGGTGCCCTCCTGGGGCTTCCTTTCTGGCCTGAGGAGAAGACTTCTTTCTGGAGCTCTTCTATTCTGCTGTGAGCAATCCTGGGGGCGGCGGGGGGGGGGGGGGGGTGCGTGGTGGGACACAGAATAGAGAAGGTGAGAGGCTGCCTTCTTAGGAACAGCAGCTCGCCCAGCTGGAGGGCTTGTTTCGTCCTCCGTGTTTGGTAAGGCCTTTCCAGAAGCTCTAGGAGGGTTTGACCTGGAGGGATGAAAGAAATTGTGATCAGAAGTGAGCAGCCAGTGGGCACTGACTGGTGACGTTTTTCTTGGTGTACAGTGAGCTGTCCCGGTACCCTTTGGTCAGATTACTTGGGATCAGCTATGGAGTCCCCTTAGCTTCAGGGCAGGACTTTAGGAGGTGACAGGGGCGGGCTGGGAGCCACTGGACTGGAAGGGCTGCTCTGAACCCCGTAGGAATGGAAGGGGCTGGAGGCAAAGAAGAGTGAACTGTGCTCCGCCCAGGAGGACAGGGACTTGGGGGGGGGGGGCGGTGGGAGGGAAGGGAAGGGCCTCCAGCCACACAGTCCTCCCTTCCTGTTCTCTCAGGACAGTCCTGGCAGGATGCATCTGCCAGAGTTCCAGGCCTGGACCTCCCCCAGGGTCTGCTCTCACCACCCCCCCAACACACACACACACACACACACACACACACACACACACACAGGGATCCTATCCCCCCCATGGGCATGGGCATGCACCAAAGAACATGTCAGTGATAAGCAAATATGCACACTCGCACACAACCCAGATTCACACACCCAGGCCCACAGAAGCCAACAGACCTGAGCATGCAGAAGACCTCTACCTGTCAACGCGCACATGCAAACACGCACCCAGGAAGCAGGAAACAGGGTGTTGAGCAGAGTGATGTGAACGGCAGGGTTGGATCCTATAGGACAGAGGGGCCTGTTCCCGCCTCCCCCACCCCCCATCCCATACACCCCATTGATCTCCAGTCATCAAGGGCTTGAGGGCTGGTGTTCAGCCAGGTAAAAGCAGGTTTATTTGTGTATCTGGAAAGGATGGGCGTGGGGGGGGGGAGGGGAGGGGTTGGGGGAAAGATGTAGGCAGAGAAGAGTTCAGAGGAGGCTGGGGCAGTCAGATAGGGTCTGTATGGAGGGTGGGGTTGAGGAGCAGCTGGTAGAGCTGAGGAACAGCTCTGAGGTGGGTTCCATGGTGAGATTACACGCGGAGAGCAGGCTGAGGCCTGGGTATGTCTGGGAGAGCCTGAGATTCGCAGGAGCCCTCTCATAAGCAGTGGGTATAGGTCTGGAATTCAGGAGAGAGGAGATTTCAGGCAGAGGTGTTAGGAAGGGGAATCTCATGGTTTAAGCCTCTCCTAGTGTGGGACAGAGCTTAAAGCCTTCTTCGTTGGCAGCTTGAGGGTTAGAGGTCAGGGTTCATTGCTTGCAAACGGGGCCAGGCTGAGTCTGAGGACTGGGGTGAGGCTCCTGCTGGCCAGGCAGGGAGCTTACTGGTTGTATTGGGACTGCACACAGGGAAAGAGAGGCTATACCACCTGTGGCCTCTGCCCTGGAAAGGGATTCCCCAGAAGATCTAACAGCGCCGGCTCAGTTTTCATGCGCACTCAATCCAGTGCCACGTTAACCCCTGTCTCCCACTCCAGGCCTGGTGAGTGGCTACTCCATGACCCCCCCGACCCTGAACGTCACAGAGGACCAGTACATCATCGACACGAGTGACAGCCTCTCCATCTCCTGCAGGTACTGGGCAGCGCTTCATGTAGTGGCCGAGAACCCAAAACATAGCTCTTTCCCCAGGGTAGGGAGACCTCCAGGCCCAGTGGGGCTTCCGGACTGTAGATCCCTGGAAGCCTTGTGGATACAAGCACCCTGCACTCGCTCACCCTCACCTGTACTCATAAAACCCTGGACCACCCTGCATCTATCTCCCCCCAGCCCTCACTGGCCTCCAGCCCACACATTCAGGAATGATGTCAGGCCCAGGCTTCTCTGCAGGCCAATCAGAGCCTTGGGAGCCAGACAGAGACCCCTAGGGAGCTCCAGGAGTCCCCTTCCTGGCCGGTCTCTGGTGTCCCAATCTTGGGGCGAGATGGCGATGCTTTTGACCCTTGAAGAAGTCTCCTCAGGGCCTCCTGACCTCTCCCATGCTTTGCCAGTGGGCAGCACCCCCTGGAGTGGGCCTGGCCAGGAGCTCAGGAGGCACCAGCCACTGGGGAGAAGGACAGCGAGGACACAGGGGTCGTACGGGACTGTGAGGGCACAGATGCCAGGCCCTACTGCAAAGTGCTACTGCTGACCGAGGCCCACGCCAACAACACAGGCAGCTACCGCTGCTACTACAAATACATCAAGGCCCGGATCGAGGGCACCACAGCTGCCAGCACCTACGTGTTTGTGAGAGGTGAGGCAGGCCGGGGCAGCGGCCGTGGATGGGATGGTTGGTGGCCAAGCCTCACCCGGATGGGACTTCACTTGGTTCGAAGCAGCTCAAACAGCACTGCCCAGTCCTGTGGGGCTGCCCCTGCTGCCCCTTGGACAACCCTGACCAGCGATTCTCTGAACCCCTGCCCTCCCAACTCGTTATCCCTTCTCCTCAGACTTCGAGCAACCGTTCATCAGCAAACCTGACACACTCCTGGTCAACAGGAAAGACTCCATGTGGGTGCCCTGCCTGGTGTCCATCCCCGGCCTCAACGTCACACTGCGCTCGGTACGATCCCCAACCCCATCCTGAGATCAGACACCGCCCCCCTCCCTCCCCTGGAAAGCTGGCCAAGAGAGAGGAGGCAGCCAGGCACTGACTGTCGCTCTGTCTGTCCAGCAAAACTCGGTGCTGCGGCCCGATGGGCAGGAGGTGGTGTGGGATGACCGCCGGGGCATGCAGGTGCCCACGCCGCTGCTGCGCGATGCCCTGTACCTGCAGTGTGAGACCTCCTGGGGCGGCCAGGATTTCCTTTCCAACCCCTTCCTGGTGCACATCACAGGTAGGAAAAGTGGCCACTCCCGCTGCTCACCTGCTCGTGCCTCTCTCAGGGCTCCCATGAGACAGTATACAGCCAGCGTCACAGCCAGGGCTGGGGGCATGCTAAGCTCTGCGCCCCTGCCAGCGATGGGTGGTCCTGTGCGTTGTCAGCGTGAAGGGTTGGGAGTTCACTGTGCGTGTGTCACCAGGCAATGAACTCTATGACATCCAGCTGTTCCCTAAGAAGTCACTGGAGCTGCTGGTTGGGGAGAAGCTGGTCCTGAACTGCACCGTGTGGGCTGAGTTCAACTCGGGCGTCACTTTCGACTGGGATTACCCAGGGAAGCAGGTGAGTTTGGCAGCCCTGCCAGGCCCTGTCCTCCTTCCTGTCCGTGGCTGTGGCATCTCCCCTTCCCCCTCAGCACCGTTCCCAGGAGTTTGTTATATCCCATGCCCATCTATGGCCCAGGACCCAAGAACATAACAACCCTAGGAACCCTGATTGATGTGGAAGTTTTCCACTCCAAGGAAAACTCTGGCGCTAGGCCTCCTGAGCCACCACTGGCTGGGCAAGGCGTGTGTGTGCCTTGGGGTGGAGGAGGAGGTTGAGGAGAGGGTGGTCCTGCCCAGAGCATCCCTGCTGATCCTGGGCTTCCCTCGGGTGTGGGCAGGAAGAGCGGGGTAAGTGGGTACCTGAGCGGCGCTCCCAGCAGACTCACACAGAACTCTCCAGCATCCTGACCATCCACAACGTCAGCCAGCACGACCTGGGGCCCTACGTGTGCGAGGCCAACAATGGCATCCAGCGATTCCGAGAGAGCACAGAGGTCATCGTGCATGGTACAGCCTGCGGGGGGCACGGAGGGAGGGGGGGCAGGTGTCAGGAACAGCCTGCAGTGCACCATGGCCTAGGGTGAGCAAGGGTCTTGGTGCAAGTGTGGATGACAGGCCTATAGAGACCCCTGTGGAGTGGGGGCTGTCCAGCTAGAGAGAAGGAAAAGCTGTGAGCACAAGCCCTGCCCAGCTTGTATTAGCCTTAGCCTCCAAGAAACTGGGGCTGCAGGGGAGCAAAATTAGGAATCCCTGGTCAGCCCTAGGTTTACCTTGCTGCCTCCTGTCTGGCAGAAAAGCCCTTCATCAGCGTGGAGTGGCTCAAAGGACCTGTGGTGGAGGCCACAGCAGGTGATGAACTGGTGAAATTGCCTGTGAAGTTGTCGGCGTACCCCCCACCGGAATTCCAATGGTAACAGCCCCCCCCCATACACCCCCCGCCTCCTAGGTTTCTCTCTTGGCTCCTTTGCCAGGTCCAGCCCAAGAACTATCCCAGGAGAAAAGAAGGGCAGTGTCTCTGAGTCTCTGAAGAGATCTCTTGAAGGGCCTGCTCGCAACTTGATATTCCAGCTAGAAGGAAAAGTTATCCCACCAGGCTGCTAAACCATGAACAATTTAAATACCAGCCTTTCTGGTATGTGTGGTGTGGTAGGCCCAGCATCAGCTTTATCTAAATACTTCTGCATTCCCTTAGCATCCCCGAGGCCCTGCCAGCTGGACACCCTCTCCACGCACACCCCCTGCATGCTGAGAAAAGTCAGAGCCTGCCCTGCAGCAGGGCAGTTTTGGGTTTCTTAGGGTGCCTCCTTCCAACTAGGAGGGGGGCCTCCTCCAGGATACTCCAAGCCAGAAGTCTGGAAATGCCATAAAGGTCTGGCAGATTATTATAGAGCTCAGCAAGGGAGCTCTTGGGAGGCCTGGAATCAAGCTGAGAGGGTGAGATTTCCCCTGCCAGGTGTATCCAGGGCCCTGGGAAGACAAGACAGCCCCCCAGTGGAGGCTCCAGCCTTGCCCTGTGCTCCCTGAGAGCTTTTCAGAGTGCTCCCGAAGAGGAGAAGGCCATTCCTGCCTGAGGGTGTGTGTGTGTGTGTGTGTGTGTGTGTGTGTGTGTGTGTGTGTGTGTGTGTGTGTGTGTGTGTGTGTGTGTGTGTGTGTGTGTGTGTGTGTGTGTGTGTGTGTGTGTGTGTGTGTGTGTGTGTGTTGGCTGTGGGGCTTGAACTCTGGGCCTGGGTGCTGTCCCTCAGCTCTACCTCTCAAGGCTAGTGCTCTACCACTTGAGCTACAGCGCCACTTCCAGTTTTCTGGTGGTTTATTGGAGATAAGAGTCTCATGGACTTTCCTACCTAGGCTGGCTTTGAACCGCAATCCTCAGATTTCAACCTCCTGAGTAGTTAGGATCACAGGCACCCAGCTCTGGCTGAGTCTTAAGCCTTCTATGAGGGGTTTCTGCATTGTCCATCTAGTCAGAGAACCTTTGTTCCTTTCTAGGATGGGGCTCCTCCTATCCAGCAGAACAGCTTTTTCTGGTATTAGGCAAGTCAGAGCTCCAGGAATCCTCAGCCAGAATTCCCTTGCACTGGCCTCGGCTAGAAGCAGACAAACACGTCCTGTCAAGGCCTGAGATGCCCTAGCCCTAGGCCTGATAGCCTTGGGCCCACCCTTTGAGGTCACAGGTTTGTGGGCATAGTACCACCTGGCATAGCAGGACAGAGTTCTGAGGGCACTGCTGCAGCTGAGCGCATTGTTCAAAGTAGTGCAGCTTCTAGAGCTACCAAGGTCCTGTCCCGTCCCCCAGGGTCAGCAGGACCGGGTCTGGTGTGTGTGTGTGTGTGGGGGGGGTGCAGCTGGCTGTCACTGCTGTATCTGTCTGGGGTCCTACCTGGTTCTCAGGCAGCTTGTGACATCTCAGTACAGCTTTTCCCTAGAAAAATCTCCACTGCCCCTGACTTTACTCGCGTGACTAACATCTGCCTCCCAGATACGCTTAGCCTAAGCCAGGCACCAATGGCTCCCTTCTGTAATCCTGGCTATTCAGGAGGCTAAGACCTGAGGATCATGGTTTGAAGCCAGCCAGGGGCAGGAAAGTCCATAAGACTCTTATCTTCAATTAACCACCAGGAAACCCAAAATGGCACGGTGGCTCAAAATGGTAGAGCACTAGCTACAAGCAAAAGTGCTTAGGGACAATGCCCAGGCCCTGAGTTCAAACCCCACAACTGTCAAAAAAAAAAATGCTTAGCCTACCCCAGGGGACTAGTCATCATCCCATATACAACTGTCCACTGTTGAAGAAAATGATTCTGAATCAGTGGATGGTGAGAGGTTTGGTGGACAGACAGACAAACAGAGACAGACAGACAGACAGATGAGTCGATCCTCAGCTCCTGGAATGCCCACAATGCCCATTTTCAGATGGGGCCACTGAGGCACAGCCTTGCCGTGCTGTGATGCCAGACAAAGTCATGCTCCTCTCTGAGTTCCGGATGCTTTCACAGTTGGTCCCAGCATCTACCTCCCCCCCTCCTCCCCTATATCTCTGTGGCTTATCATACTTGGTATCCAGAGGGCAGGATTATCTACAGAAGTGAGGACTCAATCTACAGAGTCAGATCTGCAAGAATTCCAGAAATTCCTGATCCTAGGGGGCAGCTTTATGGCTTATCAGCATAGCTTTTCCATGAAAACCTTCCTACCACACCTGGCCTTTCTCTTTCCATTGGGAAGAGAAGTCATCCCGTGAAATGCCAGGCACAACTAATCTCTACGGAGCGATCGCACATATCTGATACATTCCTGTGTACAGGCAGTCAAGGGAGTGTGGACAGAACCCCTGTTCTCATGGAGATCCTGAGCTCAGTAGCAGGAGAGAGCTAACACACAGACATGGCTAAGGATTCAAATATATGTGAGGCTAGGACTAGACTTGATCCCCAGTATGCTGAACAGAACAGGCAGGAAGGACTGGCATCAGGCTTCTCCCATGAGCTGAATACCCCAACCCCAATTAAGGCAGGAAGGAGCCATGCAAATCACCAACTACAGGAAAGAATGACCAAGCAAAGGCTGTAGTAAGCACAAAGATCCTGGGGAGGCTACCTGTCTGGAAAGTTCACTAAAGGACAGAACCAGAAATCAGAGAGCCAGGCAATTGCTACCTCGTGGGCTGCACTTCCTGTCTATATATTGGCTGGAGCTGCCATTCGCCCAGGCCTAGCCCATGAAGACAGGCCCCTTGGCCTTCTCTTCCTGCCGAAATGTGGGTTGGCCATATCTGTGTATGTTCTGCATCCTCAGATCTAGCCAAGCAGAGATTAAAAGCATTCGAAAAAAATCAGTATGGCCTATACCTGTAATTGTAGCTATTCAGGAGGCTGAGGTCTGAGGATCGTGGTCTTAAGTCAGCCAGGGCAGGAAAGTCTGTAAGATTCATATATCCAGTAAACCACCAGAAAACGGGAAGTGGTGCTGCGGTTCACAGTGGTAGAGTGCTAGCCTTGAGCAAAAGGGCTCAAGGACAGAGCCCAGGCCCTGAGTTCAAATCCCACAACAGAAAGAAAGGAAGGAAGAAAGAAAGAAAGAAAGAAAGAAAGGAAGGAAGGAAAAGAAAAATCAGTGTCTGTACCAAACATGAGTAGACTTTTGTGCCCTGTCTTGCCCTCATTCCTTATACTCCTGTAATAACTATGTACCCAGCACTAACACTGTATCAGGCAGGAGAAGAACTTTAGAGGCTGGGAATATGACTTAGTGGTAGAGTGCTTGCCTAGCATGCATGAAGCCCTGGGTTCGATTCCTTAGTACCACATACACAGAACAAGCTGGAAGTGGCACTGTAGCTCAAGTGGAAGCGTGCTAGCCTTGGGCAAAAGAAGTTCAGGGACAGTGCCCAGGCCCTGAGTTCAAGCCCCAGGTCTGGCCAAAAAGAAGGAGAAAGAAGAAGAAGGAGGAGGAGGAGGAGGAGAAGGAAGAGGAGGAAGAGGAGGAGGAGGAGGAGAAGTCTTCTAGAGATTGAGATATTCACAGAGGTGGACGTAGGTTATATGCAAATAGAGCACTAAATACACTATTATAGAATGGACTTGAGCCCCTAAGGGAAAACTTAGAACTGATTTGAATTCGAGAGGGCAGGAGTACCAGCTTGGGGCTGGGTGAGGTCCATTCAGCCCCCGAATTCCCTTCCTGGGCCAGGTACAAGGACAAAAAGGCAGTGGCCGGGCGCCACAGTCCACATGCCTTAGTGTTCAAGGAGGTGACGGAGGCCAACGCGGGCGTCTACACCCTGGCTCTGTGGAACTCTGCAGCGGGCCTACAGCGCAACATCAGCCTGGAGCTGGTTGTGAATGGTAATGTGGGAGAGAGGACAGGCAGGCCAGTGGGTCCCTGTGGTAAGCAGGGACCACTGAGCAGCCGTCTGTGCTTCCAGTGCCCCCCCACATCCACGAGAAGGAGGCCTCCTCCCCCAGCATCTACTCCCGCCACAGCCGCCAGACCCTCACCTGCACAGCCTATGGGGTACCCCCACCTCTGGGCATCCAGTGGCATTGGAGGCCTTGGACACCCTGCAAGACCTTTGCCCAGCGCAGCCTGTGAGTGTGAAGCCAACCGCAATCTCCTCTATTTTATAACCTCAGCTGGGAGTAAACTCCGGCCTTTCTTGCCATCCAGAACTGTCTCTACCCTGCCAGGAACCCTTCTCTTAAATACAAACCCTATCTTTACTTTTCTTGCCTGTGTTTGGAGATCTTATGCATCCAGTCCTCACCTAGGCCAGCGTCATGAAGCCTTTCCTCTATGTTTTCTTCCAGTAGCTTCCCATGTCCATCTTTTCATCCATGTTGAGTCGCTTGTTTTGTGAATGATCGAATCGCATTCTTCTGCATATGGATATCTAGTTTTCTTGCCACTACAGATTGAAGTGACTGTTCTTTCCCTGGTGTGTGTGCTTGATCACATTGTCAAAAACCAGCTGGCTATCAATGTTCTGAATTATTTCTGGGCTCTCTGTTCTGTTCCACTCAATGTCCATTTCTATGTTAATACAGTGTTGTGTTGACCACCACAGCTTTGAAAGTTAGCTTTGAAGTCAGGTAATAGGCAGCCTTTACGTTTGTTCTCTTGGCTCAAGATTGCTTTGATCATTTGGGGGTCTTTTGTAGTTCCTGATGAATTTTAAGATTTTTTTTTTTCCTGTTTCTGTGAAGAATGTCACTCGCATTTTGATAGGAATTACATGGACTCTGTAGACTTCTTTGGGTCGTAAGGATATTTTTAGCGATATTAATCTAGCCATAAGCAATTCCTGGCCTCACCTTGCCTGAGCAAAGCCCAGCTACTCCCTTAGTCCTATGACAGCAGGCCAGACTGGGCACAAGGGATGGAGCTTGCCCTTACCTGTCTCCCAGAAGAATGAAGTCCTTTAGAGATGTAATTGCGTCCCAGGGAAAACTAAAAGAGGTGACTCTGGAAACCAGGGCTGGCCCCTCCCCTTGAGTGGGCAAACCTGGGACAGAATCATAAAGCTTTCACATAGCAGGCACACTCACACACCTTAGCTCATCTTAGTGCCCATCACATTAGGAAATAGAGTCAAAGAAAGGAGGCAACTTGCATAAGGTCACGGCTGTCAGCAACTGAGTCAGCCCAAGTGCTGACCGACCCAAATTCCTCTTCTCTACGCTCAATGTCAACAGTACAGGTAGCAGAGACCACTCAGACATGGAGGGGATAAGAGAGCTGCCAAGGTGAGCAGCAGGCTCCAAGGTTCTAGGGGTCAGTGAAGGGCATTGAGCAGGAGTGACCAGTCCCAAGGGGTGGGGGACAGAGCCCAGGAATTCTCCCACAGAATGTGGCTCTGTCCACTAGTGGGAGAAGCCCAGGAATGGCCTGTAAGTCCAACCCAGCCTGAAATATCCAAGACATAGAAGGGAATCTTCTAGACCACATATCATGCAACTTATACTGGTAAAACTGGGCTTTTAGGCCCAAAGTCCAGGAGTCCCAGATTAGATCTCTGACTTCTTTCTCCCGCCCCCCCCCCACCATGCCAAATAACAAGTCCTGGTGAAGGGCAGAGAGAGGAGAACTATTAATGTGGCAGCCATGGGAAGACAGCACTTGAGTACATCTTCAGCCATTTTCAGGGGTACCGACATTGGCTTCAGGTTAAATAGGGAGAATTGGGGCAGGAAGGTGAGGAAGGTTTGGAGAGTTAAAAATAGTCCCAAGGCTGTGTAGGCCCGGTTGACCATTAGCTCAGTCTTTGCCCTAAGAGGAGTTCTGGAGAATCTATTAACTGAAGCAGAATAGACACAAGATGATCTGAATTTGGGGCTGTTTTCTTTAAGATGGTTGAGAGGTCGTTTGCTTACATCTCAAGATGTTCATCTGTGAATCGGGCATTTCTTGGAGCCCAGGGAGATCATAAAGTTGATTGCAACAGAGAGTAGCTCAGCTCAAAAGACACAGTCACAAAGTTGGGGAACTTTGAGTGAACTCACAGGACCCAGCAAGAGCATCTACAGTTGTCTCTTACACTGTGGCACCTTCCAGCTCGCTTCCTTCTGATGACCCGCCATTATTCTCTGTACCAACTGGAAGATCCTTAGGGAGACCTGCTACTCTCTCTAGGAACAGGCAAGAGCCTCTTTTGCACCCATCCCCATCCCAAAAGGAGACAAAGGTGCTGCTGTAGACAGGCTTGGGAGGGAGGGGGAAAAGAGGGGGGGGAGGGAGAGAGAATATCAGAGGCAGATTAAAGTAGGCTTTCTGGAATAGGGTGTAAACATGTACCTCTGGGAACCGGGTGGGCAGAATTCAAGGTGGACTTTATAAAAAAGGGTACAACCAAAGTGGAACAGAGTAGTCCAAGTGTGTAGGATGCCCATATCTCTGATCTGTTCATGAACTTTTTGGTCTACGGCAGCCGGCGGCGACAGCAACGAGATCGCATGCCACAGTGCCGGGACTGGAGGCAGGTGACCATGCAGGACGCTGTGAATCCCATTGAGAGCCTGGACACCTGGACAGAGTTTGTGGAGGGCAAGAATAAGGTATGTGGCAGCCAGGGGAAAAGAAGAAGGGAGGTAAAGAGGGCTCTCTTCTGCCTTCTCTGTTTCTACGAAGCCTGCAGAGGTAGGAAATCGCAGAGGCGGGGAATGTAGCTTAGTGGTAGAGTGCTTGCCTAGCATTCAAGAAGCCCTGGGTTCGATTCCTCAGTACCACGTACACAGAAAAAGGCAGACGTGGCGCTGTGGCTCAAGGGGTAGAGTGCTAGCCTTGAGCAAAAGCAGCTCAGGAACAGTGCCCAGGCCCTGAATTCCAGCCCCAGGACTGGCAAAACAACACACGCGCGCATGCGCGCACACACACACACACACACACACACACACACACACACACACACACACACACACACACACACACACACACACACACACACACACACACACACACACACACACACACACACGTGTGGTCTTTTTGCTGTGTCTGGACCTCAGCTTCCCTGCTTACATATTGGGGGGTAGGGGGAGGAGCCAGCTCTTTGGCCGGGGCTGGGGGGGCTGACTGAATCTCCACTGAAGGCTGCTGAGTTGCTGGACCAAGCCTGGGGGCAATGTTGAGAAGAAGCCAGGAGGGGGAGGGGGACTGAACAAAGGCACCCACTTCCTACAGTCACTTCCTGTTTTCCTACACACCTCCAGAGCCTCTTCCTGTTCCAGGCCTGGCCAGGAAGTGCCCGGCTTGGGGTGGGGGTGGGAGGGTCTTAGGAGGGTAGGCAGGGCCTATGGCCCTCTCTCCTCCTCTAGTTCTCAAGTTCCTTACTCCCTGAGGGCAGAATTTTTCTGGAAACCTAGGATACCCTTCCTCCCCCTTGAGATTACCCTGGACATCGGGAGAGGTGCTATGTGCTCTGGGGTTAATTAAGGTGGGGCACATCACAAAGATTGACATAGTGGCCAATTGTTGACATTAAACCACAGTTAGGGACCCTAGTTAGGGAGTGAGTGTCCCCTGGAAATGACTACAGTCTGAATTTTATCCCTGGCTTAAAAGTTTCCAAACTGGCTCCAAACCAACCCCTCAATATGGCCCCAGTCTCTCAATCTCTCTCTCTCTCTCTATCTCTCTCTCTCTATCTCTCTCTCTCTCTCTCTCTCTCTCTCTCTCTCCATCTCTCTATCTCTCTCTGAGGGCCTTGTCTCCTCCTCCTCTTTCATATTCCTGATGCTGTCTCTCTGAGTTTTGGTTATCCCCACCTTCAAAGCCTGCCTCCCCATCCCCTCACCCGCCCGCCCGCCATTGCTATTGGGCACATTGGTCTCCTTGCAGAAGGAGAGGGTCCAACTCAGGGAAAATCAAGTTGAAAATGGATTCTTATATCTGTGCTCTGCCTAGACGGTGAGCAAGCTGGTGATCCAAGATGCCAACGTGTCTGCCATGTACAAATGTGTGGTCTTCAACAAGGTGGGCCAGGATGAGCGGCTCATTTACTTCTATGTGACCAGTGAGTAACAAGCCTGTCCCTCGGGCGGACCCCTTCCCCTGGGCAGGACTGGGTACATTGTCAAGAGCTGAGTTTGGGAGGATTGAGTTTCTGGTGATCACAGACACCCAAGAGGGGGATATCCAGGGTCCAAGGGATACACATTGAGAGATAATCACTATATGGGCACTCGGTGCTGGTATGCTGAGGTGGAATGGCACCTTCTCTCCTTCAGTCCTGAAGGTCTCTTCCTCAGGGGTACGTTTCTGTTTCTTAGAGCTCCATCTACCTCTCTCAACCTCCCATCCCTTCTCAGCCCTGGAGTCTTGTGGTTTATGTGTGTATTTTCTCCCCAGAGGGAAGAGCCAAAGTTTTCTCTGATTTTCAACCTCTGGCAAAAAGCTCAGAGGCCCAGGAGAGTAGGCATTCACTGGGTGTAGGGGTTTAGATGAGGGTACCTCCAGAGAAAATATTTGGGGCAATGATTAACCTAAAAGCACTGACAAGACACAAATGACTATCAAGAATGTGGCAGTGGTTTTAAAAAAAGCTAATGAAGAAAGCATTTTAGAAAGAAGAGAGTGGTAGGGAATGGTCAGTAGCAAGAGGACCAGGGTTCCACGGAGTCTGGGGACAAGAGAACCTGTTGATCCGGGCTCCTGAGAGAGAAACAGACAACAGCCCAGTAGGGGCTTATCCGGGAGAAGCAGAGAGAAATGGAGAGGCAGAGAGAAATCCTGTGAGGTGAGGCTGACTACAGACGGCTCACGTGGGTCAGTGATGGAGGAAAGAAGAAGAAAGGGGCCTGAGTGGTTGAAAACCTGGGTGTTCGTAATGCACACCCATGAGAAAGAACAGGATGCATATACCCTCGATGGAGATCTGCTGCATTGGAAGGCCCAGGGGAAGGTGGGAGCAGGCAGTGGGACAGGTGGACAGGTGAGCACACATCTGGAGAGTGTCACAGGGGTTTTTCTCCCCACACAGCCATACCAGATGGCTTCAGTATCGAATCAGAACCCTCTGAGGAGCCCTTAGAGGGTCAGTCTGTGCGCCTCAGCTGCCGGGCAGACAACTACACGTACCAGCATCTGCGCTGGTACCGCCTCAACCTGTCCACGCTGCACGACGCCCACGGGAACCCGCTCCTGCTCGACTGTAAGAACGTGCACCTGTTCGCCACGCCTCTGGATGCCAGCCTGGAAGAGGCAACGCCCGGGACGCGCCATGCCACACTCAGCCTCAACATCCCCCGGGTGGCGCCTGAACACGAAGGCGATTATGTGTGTGAGGTTCAAGACCGGCGTAGTCAGGACAAACACTGTCACAAGAAGTACCTGTCAGTGCAGGGTGAGGCTGGCTGGGCGGGGAGGAGGAGGAGGAGGAGGATGGGGGGAGGGCCAAGATTCTCATCTAGCCTCTACTGCTTCCCCCTTTGCATCCACACTCCCCCCCACCCCAACCCCACTGCAGATGTGCTCAGCCCCCCTTTGCATGTTTAGTACAAGGGTACCCATCTTCCCCCTTCACCCCAGTTTCCAGCCTTAAGAGTACCCCACTCCCAGATGCCTTCTGCTTAGATCATTCTTTTGTGTTTTGTTCTGTTTGTTTGTTTTGGTCAGTTGTGGGGCTTAAACTCTGGGCCTGGGCGCTGTCCCTTAGCTCTTCAGCTCAAGGCTAGCGCTCTACCACTTGAGCCACACTACCACTTCCAGTTTTCTGGTGGTTCATTGGAGATAAGAGTCTTACACACTTTCCTTGCCCGGGGTGGCTTTGAACCACAATCCTCAGATCTCAGCCTCCTGAGTAGCTAGGATTACAAGCGTGAGCCACCAGTGCCCGGCTAGATCATTCTTTATCTCTGCCCCAGCCCTGGAAGCTCCTCGGCTCACACAGAACCTGACAGACCTCCTGGTGAATGTAAGCGATTCCTTGGAGATGAGATGCGCAGTGGCCGGGTCACACGTGCCCAGCATTGTGTGGTACAAAGATGAAAGGCTGCTGGAAGAAGAATCTGGTAAGGAAGAAGTTGCCCCTGAGGCAGGCCAGGCCCAGGTACCTAGACCCCATCTAAGCTGGAATGTTTAATCCACCACCCCCTGGCAGGAATCGACCTAGCTGACTCCAACCAGAAGTTGAGTATCCAGCGGGTGCGTGAGGAGGACGCCGGCCACTATCTCTGCAGCGTGTGCAACGCCAAAGGCTGCGTCAACTCCTCTGCCAGCGTGGCTGTGGAAGGTCTGACCCCTCACCATCCCCACCCCAGGCAATCCTGGACCTACCTCCCACCCGGAACCAGCTCCTTCTCCAGGGCAGCTCACTACAGGTCGTGCCCGTTAGAAGGCACGATTTCCCGCAGGCCCCGTCTTCCTTCTCCCTCATATAACATCCGCTTTCTGCCCACTCAGGCTCCGAGGATAAAGGCAGCATGGAGATCATTATTCTCATCGGCACCGGAGTCATCGCTGTCTTCTTCTGGGTCCTTCTCCTCCTCATCTTCTGTAACATGAGGAGGGTGAGGTGCCTCCCCTGACGTTCCCGGGGTTCTTCGTGGGGTCCCTCTTAAGCATCCCTACATCCTCCGCAGACCTCCATGCACACCCTATCTGTCCTGGGAAAGTTCCATGTCCTCCATGCTGGATTCCAACAAGGAAGTCTCTGAGTCCCTCCTTTCCTTGATTGACATCTCTGAAGCCAGGGCTTGTGTATGGTGGGTGATGTTTTTTAACTCCAGCCACAATAAGATGCCTAAATTAATAACCTGTTCCCCACCTAGCCGGCCCATGCGGACATCAAGACCGGCTACCTGTCCATCATCATGGACCCTGGGGAGGTGCCTCTGGAGGAGCAGTGTGAATATCTGTCCTATGATGCCAGCCAGTGGGAGTTCCCCCGGGAGCGGCTGCACCTTGGTGAGACCCCACCCCCAACACATCACCACTACCCATCATGCACTGCCTGGCAGAGACAGCTTCAGCCGAGCCGCCGCTGGGTCTGACAGACTGGAATGCCAGAAAGGCCTCTCTTCTCAGAACTTGTGCCAACAAGGCCCTCCTGGACTCCACCTGCTCTGACCTGTGCCATCTGGGCCTGAATGGACCACCACCACCCCCCACACCTCCCCCAAGAATCACCGCCAGGGCTTCTAGTTCCCAGGCCCCTGCCCCCACCCCAAGGTCATTTCCTGCTGCTGTGAGCAGGGTGGACCGATCACACCTGCCTAGAGAGGATGCTGAGGCCTTCCTGTCTGTCTGTCCTCTCCCTCTCTCCCGCTCCTGCTGCCTTTGTGCTTCCTGTTTGGCAAAAGAGGTTCCCCACCCCCCTTACACACACACACACACACACACACACACACCCCATGTTCCCTCCTGCACTTGACCTTTCCTTCCTAGCCCTTGGGACATGTCACCCCTGCTAGCCCACCCTTCTCCACCCTCCCCAACCCCCTCCAGCTCACCTGTCTCCACAGGGAGAGTTCTAGGCCATGGGGCCTTCGGGAAGGTGGTGGAAGCCTCGGCTTTCGGCATCAGCAAAGGCAGCAGCTGTGACACAGTGGCTGTGAAGATGCTGAAAGGTGTGTCAGGGAAGTCAGCCAGGAGAAGGGGCTGCCGTGCGGGGTGAGACTCATGGCACGGGAAGGGAAACTGAGGCTCAGAGTTAGACTCCTACCCAGAGTGGGAAAGTGGCGAGTATCAGAGGCTGACTTCAGCCTGAGCCTGGTGTCTCAGGGAAGTCAAGAGGATGAGCTGGAGACCCTGCACTAGTGTCTGGAAATCCAGGTTGCCAGGGACTGGAGGAAGGAGACTGGTGGGTCTGCCATCATGCTAAGCCCCCTGGTCTCCTCCAGAGGGCGCCACAGCCAGTGAACACCGTGCCCTGATGTCTGAACTCAAGATCCTAATCCACATTGGCAACCACCTCAACGTGGTCAACCTCTTGGGGGCGTGCACCAAGCCCAGCGGTACGAAACTGGGGTCTCCTGGGCATAGATCCAGGCGGGAAGGGGCCAATTCTTGCGGTGGCTAGGCCTGGGATGGGCTGGAGTCTGGTGGGACCGTGGAAGGAGAGGCTTGGTGGCAGGCAGGCAGGGTCAGCTCACGGTCCTGCGTCCTAGGCCCACTCATGGTCATAGTGGAGTTCTGCAAGTACGGCAATCTCTCCAACTTCTTGCGTGCCAAGAGGGACACCTTCAGTCCTTATGCAGTAAGTGGGGGTACCCCAGCCAGCTGCAGGGAGTTTTGCAGGGGGCAGGGAGGCTGGTGGGCATGCAGGTGGGCTGGGCCTGGGAATGGGAGACCCCCCAATGGGGAGGGAAAGAGGCAGGACGTTTCCAGATCACTTTGTGCGTCCGCAGGAGAAGTCTCCTGAGCAACGAAGGCGCTTCCACGCCATGGTGGAGGGAGCCAAGACTGATGGGAGGAGAGCCGGAAGCAGCGACAGAGCGCTCTTCGCCCGCCTCCTGATGGGCAAGGGAGGGGCAGGGCGGGTTCCTCCTGTCCAAGAAGGTGAGACTCTGGCTTCTCCCTTGCTTAATGCCTGATTGGCACAATCATCCTTGGCGCTGAAGTAGCCTGGGATCACGGAGCCTGGGACCCTCCAGCCCCTTGTGGTGGGTGCGCCCTCCTGAGCTGATGTGGAGATGGGAGAAATGGAGGAGACTTCTCCTGAGCCCAGCCTCTCTCCTCTGTGTAGTGGAGGACCTGTGGCTGAGCCCCCTCACCATGGAAGACCTTGTCTGCTACAGCTTCCAGGTGGCCCGAGGAATGGAGTTTCTGGCCTCTCGCAAGGTAGATTCTTTTTTTTTTTTTTTTAATTGAAAAGGTGATGAGCTGGGGGTGGGGGGGAGAGGGTTTACAGTTATATAGTAAGGCAATAAATACATTTGGTTTTAATCATTGTTACCCCATCTGTCTTTATTTCCCACTTATCCCTCCCTACCCTCTCCCCGAGTCGTAATGTTCATACTCTACTTATTGTCAAGTGAGTATCAATGTTGCTGTGGCTCACCCATTGTTCTGCTGTTTCTAGGATTCCCTTTTCCTTCCACATAGTGCATTGTCTATTATGCAAAACATGAGGTACTCAAAACTAAGAGAAGTGAGGAAAGAAAAAAAATAGAGAAAAAAGAATGAACTATATACAGGATCTAATGAGAACCTCTTGTTTCTATAAGTTGTAGTTCATGTTAATATGCTTTTATATATATATATAGTCCTTTTCACTAAGCATTTGGGTTATTGAGATCCCCTGTTAAGAGTATCATATACGTATTCTGGTTCTTACAAATGAGGGAGATCATGCCACTTGCTTTTCTTTGGGTCTGGCTTACTTCACTTAATACACTTTTTTCCAATCTCACTTCTGGGAATTTACCCAACTGACCACAAACAAGGCCACACCAAAGCCACCAGTACAACAATGTTCATCGCAGCATTATTTACCATAGCCAAGATATGAAACCAACCCAAATGTCCCTCAGTAGATGAATGGATCAAGAAAATGTGATATATATATATATATATATATATATATATATATATATATATATATATATATAGGGGAATTCTATGCTTTCATCAGAAAGAGTAACATTGTTCCATTCATAAGGAAATGGAAAACTTGGGGAAAAAATTATATTAAGTGAAGTTGCAAGGTAGATTCTTAACACCTGTCAGGCCCTCTGCAGGTGAGAGGTAGAAACCTGCTGGCATGTCATAAGTGGGTGGAGTCCCTTCCTCACCCCCTGGGATCAGTAGGAACAGGTCTCTAGGTCACCTGGCTAGTCCATGACAGAGCTGCAGGTGGAATGAATCCAGCCCACTCTCTGACTTTCTCTGCTATCCTGTTTCACACTGTCTCTCCTTGTGATGCACAGAAATCTTCCCCCCCAAAAGAACTCAGACAAAGACATCCTCTGGGCGTCTCCCCAGCTTGAGCTCCAGGCCGGAGGATCTGAGCTCATCCATCTCACTCACTGACCTCCCCTCATCCCTACCCAGTGCATCCACAGAGACCTGGCCGCTCGGAACATCTTACTGTCAGAGAGCGATATAGTGAAGATCTGTGACTTTGGCCTCGCCCGCGATATCTACAAAGACCCTGACTATGTCCGCAAGGGCAGCGTGAGTGCAAGCCACCAGGAGAAGGGGAGAGGCGGGAGGGTGAGACCGCAGGCCTGTGTGTCCCGCAGCAGATGTGGTGTTGGCTGAAGGTGACAGCGATTCCTTGGTCAGCCAGCCGTCTATCCAGTTGCTATGGGGGACTGACTCACTGCCCCTGGGAGCCCAGCAAAGTCCAAAGGACTGAGCCTAAGAGGAGCATAGTAACCCTGCGAGCTAAGGCAACTTGGTTGTGTTTAGAGACAAGAGATGGGAACAAGGGACTACGGGTCCTCCCATTGGAAGTTGTATTCTGCGCGGTACCTCGGTGCATTTGGTGAACACTGAGGGCTGGGCTACAGAGTATTGCCTGTCTGGAGATGGACAGGCTGGTCCATCTGTGTTTGAGGGAAGTGTCAGTCTTATCACAGGGCTCAGAGGCAGGAGGCTGAACAGGGATCCACAGCTGATGAGGGGAGTTCGGGCTGAGAACAGGACAGAGAAGGTTCCTTAGGGGAATGAGTAAGATGAGTCCAGGAGACGGGGTGGTGGCGATCCTGCCCAGCATGTCCACTCTGTGCGACGTGCCCGTGTTTCTAACTCACGGGGATGTAGGGGCAGGTGGGGGTGGGGATCAGATGTACATTTCTAGAAGCTTCTCTCTGAGAGCTGTGGGAAGAGCAGATGGAGGGTTCTGGGCTGGAAGCAGAGATCAGTCCAGAAGGACAATGGTACTTAAGGCTACCAGGTAGAGACAGGTGATTGGGAGGATGCATGGAAAGGCCCCAGGGGGAAGGGTCAGGAGTAGCTCCTGCTTCTAACATGGGTATCGGTGAGCACACGGAGAATGTTTGTTGAGGAAGATGGTGAAAGCATTTAGGGACACATCACCTTGGGAGATGGGGCCAGTGACCCAGAGCTGCAGGAGCTAGCTGTGGTGCTTCAAGGGTAATCATCACGCTAAAGAGACTGAGTCAGGAGGGACTGCCAGTTTGAGACCAGCTTGGGCTGTACCAAAAAAAAAAAAAAGGAAAGAAAGGCAGACAAAAGAAAGACAGATGGAAGGAAGGAACGAACAAAGGAACGAAGGAATGAAGGAAAGAGTGAGCCTGTTTATATTTGCTACTCAGGAGGCTGAGATCAAAGTTTGAAGCCAACTCAGGGCAGAAAAGTTCTTGAGACTCTTATCCCAATTAACCACCAAAAAGCCAGAAGTGGAGCTGTGGCTCAAGTGGTAGAATCTTGCATTGAGTCAAGAAGTTCAGGGACAGTGCCCAGGCCCTGAGTTCAAGCTCCAGGACTGGCACAAGGAAGGAAGGAAGGAAGGAAGGAAGGAAGGAAGGAAGGAAGGAAGAAGGGAGGGAGGAAGGAAGAAGGGAGGGAGGGAGGGACAGAGGGAGGGACGGAGGGAGGGATGGAGGGAGTGATAGGAGGGGAGGGAGGAGAAAGAAAGAGAGAGAAAGAAAGAAAGAAAGAAAAAGAGAAGAAAGAAGAGAGAAAGAAAGAAGAAACAAAGAGGAGGAGGGAGGGAGGGAGGAGAAAGGAGGGACATCCTCCTTCCTCTAAGAAACCTCAGGGAACAGGGAACTGGAGAGACACAGAGCAGCGGCAGGAAAGACACCTTCAGCCACACACAGAAGGAAGCTGTGTGTTTCTGTAATGTGTGTTGGGGTGGGGGGATCCCAGTGTCTCCCTCATCCCCCTCCTGGTCCCTCATGGAACACAATTCCCTCTGCCCTCCCCTAGGCTCGGCTGCCCCTGAAGTGGATGGCCCCGGAGAGCATCTTTGATAAAGTGTACACCACACAGAGCGACGTGTGGTCCTTCGGGGTATTGCTCTGGGAGATTTTCTCCCTGGGTAAGTGGAGGATGAGGTATCCTATTCTTATGACAGGGTGGGAGGGTGTCCTGCTGCGGAAACCTCCAGGGGTGCCTGTGGGGCAGCCAGAGACAGTGAGGCTTGTATTGACTTCTGGTGAGGCTGGCCCAGCTTCCCACAGGCCTTTGCCTCCGATCGGGGCCACCCTGGCACCTCCAGGACTCTGTGCCTGAGCAAAACCTTCCTCCTCCTGGCAGCCTCTAGCTCATTGTGGGTCCCATTGGGAGCTCAGGGCTCTCTCAACAAATGCACCTAATTAATGCAAACCATGTATGGGAACAGGAAGGCCCCATAAGAGGCGGAAGGAAGCAATGAAAAGAAAAATGAGATAGCACCAGGTCGCCATCATGACACACACTGTTACTGCAAGTAAAAGGGCAGACGAGATTAGGGATGCTTGGAGGATGAAGGGGAGGTGTATAAATCAGAGGGGTTGGGAAGGATTGGGGCTACACAAAGAGGGGTGTAGGGTAGGTGTAGATCAGTGGTGATGGAGCATGTACTTAGCATAAGCCAGGCCATCCCAGTGCCATAGATGGATGGACAGATGGACGGATGGATGGATGGATGGATGGATGGATGGATGGATGGATGGATGGATGGATGGATGGATGAACAAATGGATGAGCAGATGGATGGATGAATGAATGGACATGTAGATGATTGAGTAGACGGGTGGATGAATGATGGATGGATGGACATATAGATAAATGGACAGAATGGATGGATGGATGGACAGATGGATGGGTAGACAGCTGAATGGATGGAGAAATGGACTGGGTTAGAGACAGTGGTCTCAGAGGGCAGCAATCCAGAGTGAGGACCATGCCTAAGGCCCATGTTGCTGGAGGAGGGAAGGGTGTAGGCAGGGCAGGGTATCAGGAGACGCAGCTAGAGGTAGGAGAGGCTTTGTTGAAAGTAGCTTCACAGACACCACAGGCTGAAGCTTCCACTAACAGCCCTCGCTGATACATGTTGGGTAAGGGGATGCTCAGGGCACCCATAGCAAACAAGTAGCCTTGTCCTCTTTTAACCCATTGGAGAACTGGAGCTCGAGGAAAGGCCCGACCCACCCAGCCTGCCCTCTCCCCACCCCTGCCCTAGGCCTCTTTCTCCTTGAGGGGAAGAGAAATACAGGAGGGAACAGGACAAGGGGAAACAGAGGCTGAGCCTGGGCACTCACCCCCCCCACCCCTGCTTTTTTTTCTGTCAGGGGCCTCCCCATATCCTGGGGTGCAGATCAATGAGGAATTCTGCCAGCGACTGAAAGAAGGTACCCGGATGAGGGCTCCGGAGCTGGCCACTCCCGCCATGTGAGTGTCTTGGCTGGCAGGCATGTGTGGGCACCGGGGAGGGGAGAGGGGGAAGGGGTGGGGCTTCGGGACAGGAGGCAGGCAGGTAGAAAGAGGGGCACACAGGTGTAGAAGAGGCAAGCACAGGTAGAGGGGTAGGGACTTAGCCACTGTGGGGTGGGGGAGTTACGGAGACAGAGCAGGCATGGATGGGAGCCTGGTCTGCCATAGACAGAGCGTCTCGCTCCATTACTGACTGCCATTAACAACTCCTCTCCACTCCAGAGAGTCCCACAGGCCTGACCCCTGTCCCGGGGGGGGGGGACACACAGATAGTCACGTGACCAGAAGCGTGATGAGTACAAAGAGGGGTAACCTGGGTGCTCTAAGGACACTTGACAGCATCTGGGGGGGGTCACCAGAGGGGAGACTGAGGTAGGACTTGGAAAAGGAGTGAAGACAGCTGGAGATGGGTTTCCCCGGAGAGGCAGCAGCAAATGCTGAGACTCAGCGTGAGGTGGGCTGAGCAGCGGGGTACGAGGCATGGGCTTTGCTCCTATGACGAAGTACTTGACACTGGGTACTTTGTAAGGAAAAGAGGTTTTAGTTAGCTCATAGCTGTGGAAGTTCAAGAGCAAGACAGCAGCCATGAGCCAGTTCTGTGAGGGCCTTCTGGCTGCAACACAGTATGGCAGACACAGTACGACAAGAAGGCAAGGGGCTGGAGAGGGGACAGGCTCTTTGCGTGAGGGCCTGGTCTTTGGAAGACTAAATGACCTTTGTGAGACCTGACTCCCACTGCACAAAACCCCAGCATTAACCCATTCATGATGACATCTAGCACATGATCCTTCCGGAGGGGTACCCTTGAGTCACAGGCAAACCATCGGGAGAGGCGGGAGGGTCGGGGTGCACCCAGACTACAGATCAAAAGCCACGTTCACCCTGCAGACGCCGTATCATGCTGAGCTGTTGGTCTGGAGACCCCAAAGCAAGGCCTGCTTTCTCAGAGTTGGTGGAGATCCTAGGGGACCTGCTTCAGAGTGGGGGCCTGCAGGTGAGCATCACCTCCACCCTGACCCCTTCACCCCCGGGTCTTGGCCCTGGCTGTCCCTCCAAGCCCTTCTAAATCCTGCCCATGTCTCAGCCACCAGGCAAAGGTCATGTATCTTCTAAGGCAGCCCTGTCTCCCTGGCTTTCTTGTGCCTAAAGCCAGGTGCTAATGACACCTGCCTGTAGTCCTAGTTACTCAGAAAGCTGAGACCTGGAAGATTGGAGGCTGAAGCCAGCTCAGACAATAAAGTCTGGGAGACTCCATCTCCAATTAGACAGCCAAAAGCTGTGCTGAGAGCATGCCCCAGCTGTGAGCAAGCAAGCTGAGCAACACAAAGCCCTGGGTTCAAACCCAAGTCCACCACCACTATTTAAATTTTAACAGCAACAGGCACCAGTGGCTCACGCCTATAATCCTAGCTACCCAGGAGGCTGAGATCTGAGGATCAAAGCCAGCCCAGGCAGGAAAGGCCATGGGACTCGTCTCCAATGAACCACCAGAAAACTGGAAGTGACGCTGTGGTTCAAGTGGTAGAGCGCTCGCCTTGAGCTGAAGAGCTGAGGGGCAGTGCCCAGGCCCGGAGTTCAGGCCCCATGACCGACAACAACAAAAAAGAATCCACACCAGTCCTAAGTGCAGGAAGACAGGCCGATCTCTCACCCTGGTCTTTTCCCCTCTCCCTGCCAGGAGGAGGAGCAAGACTGCATGGCCCGCTGTGGCTCCCAAAGCTCGGAGGAGGGCGGCTTCCTGCAGACGTCCACCACAGCCCTGCATGTGGCTGAGGCCGAGGCAGAGGACAGCCCTCCCAGCATGCATCGCCACAGCTTGGCCGCCAGGTCAGCCGCGCCCCCTGGGGGGGTCTGGGAAAGAGAGCTGGTGGAGGAAGCGGTTTGAAAAGCAGTATAGTTCATCTTCTTGAGTCATCAAGGAAGAGTGGTGTTGCAGTGACGCGAGAGGACCCTGGATGACGTCACTGGGGTTGGGGGGATGCCCTGGTGACCCAGGGAACCTGGCGGCTCTCCGTCTGAGGTTTAACCCTCTGTGCCTCCTCTCTGCCTGCTGGGATCCTTGTCCATTCCCCATGGCTGTAACAAAATGCCTGAGGGTGGGTACTGTATAGAGGAAACAAAACTTACCTTTCAGCTAGAGAGAATGGAGAGTGTAACCTCTAGGGAAGGACTTGGGCTAGCTTAATACCAACCCACTGTCTCGAGCTAACAGAGCTCTCAAGAGAACTACATTAATCCTTCCTGAGGGTAGTACCCCAGGACCTAATTACCTTGCCCTGAGCTCCTCCCCTTCAAGGTTCCACCCCCTCAACACCGCCACCCCCAGGAGCAATCTAGCAGCACGAGCCCATAAGGGGGTACCCTGAAGCCATGTCCCTCTTTCACTCAGCGTAGGCCCATTTTTCTGGCCGGAGGACCAAGTTGAAGGGGCGGGGTTCACCCCCAGAGACCCTGGGAGCCGGGGGGGATGGACACCCCTAGGCCCATATTCAGAAGTGAGACGTCTTTTGAGTTCCCAGAGGGTTGGGCTGGAGGTCTCTTTGTTCTTGGCAGTTTAGACCCCAGAAGGCGGCTTTGTTCACATTCCCACCTGTGCCACTGAGAGAGCCTTGGGCAGAGCTTTCTGGGCCGGGCCTGGGGCGGCAGCAGGCCGATCGGCCGCTCAGCTGCTCCTCTGTGCCACGTCCCACCGCCCCTCAGCCCTCCCCTTCACTTTGGAGCCTTCCTGGTGCTCCCGGTGGTTTTTCTGGCCCCTGCATCAGAAAGGAAACACAGTCCTGGAGGAGTGAGGACAGGGACGCGCCCCGGGTCACAGGGCTGGCGTGGTGGGATGTGCATGTGAAGCAGGACGCTGGGAGAGGGCTAGGCCTCTGACACAGGCATCCCTTCCCTACTATGGAAGGACGTGCCAAGAGGCCCGCCTCTGGAGGAGAGGAGGCGGCTCTCAGGAGACCAGGTTCTGTGCTCTTCTTCCCACAGATACTACAACTGTGTGTCCTTTCCTGGATGCCTGGCCCGAGGGGCTCAGACAGAGGGTTCCTCCAGGATGAAGACGTTTGAAGAATTTCCCATGACCCCTACCACCTATAAAGCGTCGGTGGTAAGGGAAGGAAGGAGGGATGTGTTCCTTAGAGTAGGACTGAGGGAAATGCACAGAGATCTTTTTTAACCTATCTTTTTTTTTTATTTTCTAATTTTTTGTCAATTGTGGGGCTTCAACTCAGGGCCTGGGTGCTGTCTCTGAGCTCTTTTTGCTCAAGGCTAGCGCTCTACCACTTTGAGCCACAGCGCCACTTGCAGTTTTCTGGTGGTTCAGTGGAGATAAGAGTCTCACAGACTTTCCAGCCCAGACTGGCTTTGAACCTCAATCCTCCAATCTCAGCCTCCTGAGTAGCAAGGATGACAGGTGTGAGACACCAGGGCCTGGTTTATTCTATTTTTATACATGCAACAGATTACTTCAACCCTTCATCTTCATTCATACACTCCTCTGTTGTAAACTCCATCTCCCTCTCCTCTCCCACACACACCCCCATCCCCACTAGAACCTGTTTTACTTTAATGTCGCACATTATTATTTTCAGCCTATGTTCATTACACCAAGGGGCTTTATTAGGGAGACCAGCTGCCTGGCAGAACTGCTTCCCATAAGCCCATTCTCTCTGCACAGGACAACCAGACAGACAGCGGAATGGTGCTGGCTTCGGAGGAGTTTGAGCGGATAGAAAGTAGACATAGACAAGAAGATAGCTTCAGGTAAGGACTTGTGGAACTTACACCCCTACAAGGATTGGGCATGGTCTATGCTGGGAAATCCTTCAGCGGGGTTTAGCAAGGGAAGCTGGGAACTGACTGTGTCTTGTCAGTCTTATTCAACACCTTTTGTGGCCAGGTACTAGTGCCGGTGGCTCACCCCTATAATCCTAGCTACTCAGGAGGCTGAGAGCTGAGGATCATGGTTCGAAGCCAGCCCATGCAGGAAAGTCCATTCATCTGTAATAAACTATTCAGAAAAAGCCAGAAGTAGCACTGTGGCTCAAGTGGTAGAGTGCTAGCCTTGGGCAAAAGAAGCTCAGGGACAGTGCCCAGGCCCTGAGTTCAAGCCCCAGGACTGACAAAAAAAAAAGAAAAAGAAAAGGAACATGAAAGAGTTAAAGGGCTGGGCGCTGGTGGCTCTCACCTGGAATCCTACCTACTCAGAAGGCTGAGATCTGAGGATCGTGGTTCAAAGCCAGGAAGAAAAATCCATGAGACTCTTATCTCCAATAAACCACCAGAAAACAGGAAGTGGCTCTGTGGCTCAAGTGGTAGAGCGCTCGCCTTGAGCTGAAGAGCTGAGGGACAGCGCCCAGGCCCAGAGTTCAAGCCCAAGGTCTACTGAAAATATCCACCAAGTTGATGCCCACATTGCTCTTGAGATGGCATGACTGAAACATTCTTTTTCACTTCCAAGTCTGTGAGGAGAAAGAGGAGGGGTTTATCTGTCCGGGTCCCCCCTGGTTTCCACTAGCTCAGGGTCTCCCATGGGGAGTCAACTCTTCCTCATTTCTGGGTGGCGTTGCTCTTCAGTGAATGCTAAAGATGGCAGATGGCATGCCTTGCAGTGTGATCTAGATAAAAGGAGATCCAGGCTTATCATTGGCTATCATGGATGAATAGCAGCATCCAGTGCTGTCCATCAGCCCCTAGATAAGGGGCTGCCTGGTCCTCAGTGGCAGTTCCACGAGGAACGTGAGTGGGAAGAAGGTGGTGAGTCTGACAGGGCAGAATAAGGAAACCTGGGAAGCCACATCCCTCAGTTCTGTCATGTAGCTCTGACAAAATACCTGAGTCTGGGTAACTTGTAATGAGAAGAAATTCAGTAGGCCTGTGATTTTGGAGGCTGGGGAGTTTATATATATATATATATATTGGTGCCACCATCTGCTTTTATGATAAACCCTTTCTTGTAGTAATGACATGGATTTGCTAGGCAACCTCACTGCGTGACTAACTTTAAGGTCCCACCTCCACACACTTGTTGCTTTGGGGACTGAGTCCCCAACGTTTGAGCTTTGGGGAACACATTCAAACCATGATACTGTCTAAATATGCCCCTTTTTTTGCCTGGGGAACTTGCTATTCATGCTGTAGGAAATTCCAACAGGAATAATCATGCCTTGGAAAAATAGATAGATATATAAGCATTATCCATGTGAAGTTATTATAAGACTAACACAGGAAATTAGAATGAAAACGTCACAGTAGGACATTCTTCAGAAAGGAAAATTAACACCGTGTGCCAACAAGAAAGAAATACATCACAAAACCAACAGCTGCACCATGAATCAGAAGTTAACTAATTCAGAAATAGAAATGGACAATTGTGAAGATACAAAATGACTAAATGCAGGAAGGAAAAATAAATTCTCTGACTATATCTGAAGCATAATGTCAACGTAACCAATCATACAGCGTAGGTCATAGAGAACAGTCCCAAAAAGAATTAAGAAAATAACATGGGAACAAAGATGTGAACGTATCAAACATAGAAGATGAGAAGATATATAATACCTATAACATGGGAGCCCCTGAATAGGAAAATGCAGTGGAATGAAATCACTTGCTTCAACTTATATTCAAGATAACACAAATAAAAGACGAGCTGAATCTACATATTGGAGGGACGCCGAGGAAAATATCAAGCTCTGGAGACATATCTAGAACTATTTGGCTTGAGAAAGAGAGCAAGAATGAGAAAGTGAGATTAGTATCAGGATTACCTCAATAGCATGTGCCAAGCAAAACAAGAATAAATCAGTTATTTCCAGGAAAATTCATCATGGGAACTAAGGATTTAGCATAGTGGGGCAATCAGCAAGGCAGGGAGGGGGTAACCTGCGGAGACTCACGGGCCATGGTGAGAAGCTGGGTTTAATTACAGGAGCGATGAAAGCCACTGGAGGGTGTTCTCAGAGGAGGTCCTCATACCATGTCTAATTTAAAGGATCTCTCTAAAGATTGGGTCTTGGGGAGGCAGTACTGGAGGCAGAGACCTGCCGGGGTGGTTGTGGGGGGCGTTATTTCTGATCCTGCAATGATGGTAGGCTCCCTGATGTAAGGCCACGGGGTGGGAAAGGTGTCGGTGGACATTTCCGTAGTAAGAATGGACAGGAATTCTGTCTGTGGGTGTCACCTCTTTCTTTTCTTTCTGTGAGATACGAAAGCTGCAGAAAAATCAAGGGCAGCAGCTTAGGTGTTTGGCTTAAGTAACTGAGTAAAAAAACAGATTGCTCAAGATAGGTAGACAAGCTAGAGACCTCTGGGCATAGGAATGGCCATACATCCAAAATAGCAATGAGCAGGGAGAGTCCTCTAGACCTCAGAAAAATTGGGTTTTAGAAAAAAATGGGTCTCCTGGAAGCCAGAGAGTATCCAGAAATGACAGACAGACAGACAGACACACACACACACACACACACACACACACACACACACACACACACGTTCATTCAGGACATTGCACTTCTCAGCAAATGGCAACAGAGGGCGCTCTTCTCATAATGAGCCAGGAGAAAGTGCCCCCACTCCCCCACCAGAGGCATGAGAACTAGGCAGGTGCATTCAGTGTAATGAAGCAGAGGGGTTGTTGTTGTTGTTTGTGGGGGGCAGGGGTAGGGGAATGAAGTCAAACATTTTCATGGTCCTGTGTCTAGGTTTGGGGCAGAGGGATCCCCAGTGAGTATCAGCTCCTCTGGCTTGTGGTTTAAGACGAGGCTGTGGGTGTTTCCCAATGTCTCTGAGCAGGCGTACATCCTCCAACTGTGTCTTTGACGATTCTATTCAGAGCCTGAACGTGGTCCAGTCTCCTCTGCTGGCCTTACTGACCTTCTCCTCTGTGTCTCAGCAGCTGTAAAGGACCTGGCCAGGATGTGGATGACAGCCGGGCACACCCTGACCTCCAGGGGAGGCGGCGGAGGACCAACCGGGGTGGAGGACAAGCGGGCCAGGGGTTCTATAACACGGAGTACGGGAAGCTTTCACAACCGTGTGAGGAGGCCTGCCACACCCCATCGGGGGGTGCGCCCTTCTTCACAGACAACGGCTACTAAGGCAACACTGGCAACACCTCCTTGTCCCTTGAGTTCTGAAATCTGGGGGGTGGGGGAAGAAGGGGACATCCCTGCCAAGGGTGAACAAGAGGGTCGGAGATCCAGGCTGGGAATGCATCTCCCCTGACACCAGCCTGGGAGGCATTTCCTCTTCCTTCTGTACAGCTTCCATAGCTGGGAAGAGCCGGACGTCAAGTTCAAGGGCTCCCCTGAACTCTGCCACAAGACCTGTCCCAGGCCACCCTTGGCTCTATCTCTCCTTCAGATTCAACCACCATTTAGCTGGTCCCTGGGCTAGGCACTTCAAGGCCTCTGCAGTAGCTCTTTTGTATCACCGAGTGTGAGCCACGTGGTTCCTGTACTCCTGTATGACACACGCGCACGTGAGTGAGGCTGAAGAGTTGCAGAGTGACTGAGGTAGAGCTAGATTTGAGCCACCATCTTATAGTCCTTTTTCCAGCAGCCACCCATTCCCATGGAGAAGGACTAGAAGCAGGTGGCTATCTCTCAAGCACTGAAGAGAGCATACCACATTTCCATCCCAGTGTCACCCCAATGAAGAGTTGGGGACCGGGGTGGGGTAGGGGAGGTTCCTCTCCTGCATGAAACTATTGGGAGTGGCCAGGCCAGGGACCAACCCTTGTTGGACATTGAACTCAATGGCATCTGAATTGGCCGAGAAGCTCACGGGGTAGCTTTTTGTATGGGATGAGCCAGTTACAAAGCATGAAGCAGAGTCTCCACCCCGAGAACTGAAGAGAACCGTTGAACAGATTCTTTTTATTTTTATTATTTTTCAGTTAGAAGGTTAGAGACTATTTCAGCTGCTGTGAAGAATTTACTTTTCAAAACTTCAGGTGGAAGGGAAGCCCCATGAATCTAGATTTTGTTTGTTTTTTTTGCCCCCCAAAGTCAGAGGCCTTCAGCACAGACACCTCGGTTAACACCTGTCTCTTTTTGAGAAGGTTCCTTAGCTCCCACCTGGCTGGCCAAGAACCTAAAACCCAACTCGTTCTACAGCTGCCCTGTGTGATTCTTTCCCCTTGTTCTGGGGACCTCCGTGTTCTCCGAGAGACAAATTCCAATGGTTTCACTGAGGAAGGCTTCGAGTGTCACAGAGAACAGTTACCCCATAGCACTCTTCTATCCATGGGCATGCCTGTAGCCCTTTAAGGACACTGCTTTCTGCCTTCCCTTTGCCTGGGCTGGCATCTTTGTCCTCAAAGTGGGGAAGGGCCGAGAGGCCCTCCCTCCCCCTGGAGTCACTCTGTGCAAACCTCCCAGCCATCTCCCAACAGGAAGCTCTTCATCTCCATTAGTAACAAGGAGATGGTTCCTCCCATCCCCACCCCCATCCCCACAAGACGTTTGCAGGACAGACGTCCATGCAGCGAGCAGGGACTTGCTAGGAAGACCCTCCCTACCGAGCGTGTTGTGATGCCATGAATTCAGGGATGACCGTTGGGTTAACCACCCACATCCGCCCCTTCCTCTGCATGCCACCTGCCACGTGGGGACTTGCATCAAGGCTTAACAGAGACTCAAAGGACCAAAGCCACCCATGTGGGTGCAGGACTCAGCTTGTCCTGTGGTATATACTACCTGTTTGTGTCCCCCCTCCCCTTCCTGCCATATAACTGTACCCCCCCAAAAAAAATGTACTGGGGAAGAAAACTTACTATGCCTTTGTAGACAATGTTCTCTGAAAAGATTTAAAATATTTAACAGAAGATAATAATACATTTGATGCCAGTCTTTTGAGTTACAACGAGTGGACGGTAAATGGAGTGACAACTGTATTTGTTTTGGGGTGTTTTTTTTTTCTTGTCTGTCATGGGGCTTGAACTCAGGGTCTGGGTGCTGCTCCTGAACTTTTTGCACTCAAGGCTAGTGCTCTACCACTTTGAGCCACAGCACCGCTTCTGGTTTCCTGATGGCTGCTTGTGGATGAGTCTCACGGGCTATCCTGCCCCAGCTGGCTTCACACTGCAGTCCTCAGATCTCAGCCTCCTGAGTAGCCAGGATTACAGACATACATGAGCCACCAGCACCCAGCTACAATTGTACATTTTTGATCTAATCTCCCTCCTAGTCCAATGGGAGAGTAACCAAAGGAAACAACAAGGAGAGGTGTTCCCTGAGTGAATTTCTATCCTCCGATCAGCTGCCATTCCCCAATGGGGACAGCAGAGGGCGCCTGGGCCCTGCTTACAATCTTTGCAGGGCTTTCTGTCACCAGAGTGGTGGCAGCCTCATGGGATGTGTGTCTTGTCGGTCTGGTTGTGTCCTCAGCAGGCTGGCCCAGTTGATGTCCCACTAGCTCAGGGATGACCACTAGAGGGCAGCAGCCCTGTCACGTGGACTAACTGGACCCAACCATCCTAGCTATACAGGCTGGTCACCAGTTCTCTAGGGCATCCAGGAGGCTAGCAAAAGGCAAGAGCCAGAGATTCCTCTGCCCTGGATCGCAGACAGCACCTTCTGGGCCTTCCCAACCCCTTTGGGGTTCTGCTCTATACTTACAACATTGATTTTGCTGTTGCCCAGCCTTCTTTTCGATGTTCTGGTGGGAACAGCCCTGATTCAAAGAGTCAGCTGTGGTGGGGTTTGTTTTGTGGTGTTTGCTTCTACAATAAATCTAAGTTTGAATATGAAAGGACTATTTATGCCCAAGCAGAAATAGGTAAAAATCAACTCCATGTTTCTTTGGCCACTGCTGCCATGTTCCCTCTTAGAGCCCTGGGGACCCACGGAAGCCTTCTGGAAACAAAAGCAGGGCTTCTACCCCTGAGACTGAGTTGGCATTCTGGTTTGGCATTGCCGGCTGCTGGCTCATCATCCAGAGAGGACACTTCTGTAAAACAATAGCCGAGAAGAGCAAGGGTGTGGTGACGTTGTTATTTGAATCTGGGGCACGTTTTGGCCGAAGGCAGAACGCACGCATCCTTTGAATTTCAGTCATTGCTTCAGCTATGTGGGTCAGCTTTCCTATCATGTTCACCAAGACCCTCAGCCCACACAGGAGAAGCCTGGCCGATGGCGCCTTTCCACCCTCTCTACTGCAGGGCCCGGTAGAGAGGAGGTCCCTGGATGGGGAAAGGGCAAAAAGGAAGTACTTGAAAAAGCCAGATCAATATTGACTAAGATAAAGACACTGGCAGAGGGAATGCAATACACTGGTGACACTGCCAAGCACTCCAGGGCTGAGATGGCTAAGCTATGAGGAAGGAGGGAGGAGGCTGAGGAAAGAGGGATGGCAAAGATCCACAGTGACCCCCTGAACAAAGCACCCCACCTCTATGGCCAGGCAGGGAAGCCAGGGCATCTGGGAGAGATTCACAGCATCCCTACTCTGGGCCTGCCCCATGGCCTGAAGTACCTCACCGGTCACCAGCCTGCTCCTTGTGCTGAGGCTGGAGAAAGTGCAGGGTCCTGCTGCAAGAGCTTCTTGCAGCTCATGCCTGTCATCCTAGCTACTCTGGAGGCTGAGATCTGAGGACTGCAGTTCAAAGCCAGCCCAGGCAGGGAAGTCCATGAGACTCTGATCTCCAATAAACCACCAGAAAACCGGAAGTGGTGCTGTGGCTCAAGTGGTAGAGCACTTGCCTTGAGCTGAAGAGCTGAGGGACAGCGCCCAGGCCCAGAGCTCAAGCCCCACAACTAACAGAGAGAGACAGAGAGATTCTTGACACCCAAGAGACCCTGCGATACTGCCCCCTTGTCCTTGTCATGAACACTGAAGCTGGAGAAAGGACAGCATCAATCTCTTGGCTAGACTAGGGCATCTGAACCAGGAAGACTTCCCTAGAAAGGACAGGGGTGGCTGGCTGTATTGGTTGGGGACAAAGGTCTACCAGGAGTCCAGTACTGTGGGAAGGCAGCAGGTGCTGGCTGACCCCACTCAGGGTCATCCATTCATCCCCACTTTCTTCCGGGAAAGGAGCTCTGAAGGAATGAGGAAGCCCCAAGGCCTACAACTCTAGCGAGAGAAGGGGAGGTGTGTGAACAAACACCACCACAGACACACCCTGTAGCTGAGTCACTACACCCTAGAGGTCTAAGGAGCCCCCAGACTAAATTGACCACAGTGAAGTACAAGATGGTGTGTTCTGGTAGAAAAAGCCAAAGGTCTCCATTGAGGACTGCCTACCTCTGTCCATACCCTCCAGTCAACTCGCAGGCTAGACAGCAGATGCCTGGTGTGAAGGCCTAAGAAATCTGGTCCTCCTTGTTCCTCACGAAGAGATGGGATTGGGGTTCACACCCACCCACCTCAGTTTGCTTAATCATTTATGTCACTGGTATCAGAAAGAGTTCCAAGATGGCAGAGCTCAGAGACAGAGATGCTGGTTGACCAAGAGAAAAGAGAAAGGAATCACCTGGAACCTCAGGACGTTGGAGGGCCGCTGCGTGGGCACCCCGTGCTGAAGTTCCAACTCCATGAGTTTATGGCAGCCATGCTTTGAGTCCTAGGTCAGCAGATACGGTGTAAGGTAACTGGGAAGGGAGGGGTGGCAGTGGGAGAACGTGCTGGCCCTTAACCCAGGCTGGGAACTGGGATGGGAAATGGGAGTTTGGTCCCAAAAGGGGAGCTTTTCAAAGAATGAGGCTAGTTTGTGAGTCTCCAAGGAGAAAGGCAAGTTCTGTGCTGAGCTGGGCCTGGGCCTCTTGAGGTCTGCTGGCCTTGCTACCTGGGATAACACTGAGAAACACAGCCTGGACAGCCTGGCCTCGGTGCTTGTTGAAATCACTAGCCATGATCCAATGGAGGTGCAGGCAGAGACACTGCCATTGGCTGATTGCTGGAGCCTATTAGTGTTCCTTTATGTGGCTGTGATTAAGTGAATCCTTCTGAGGAGATTCTCCTGGATGGTCCAGGTGGACTGTAAATGCAAGCTCAGGCAACTTTAAGAGGAAGGCAGTGAGATGAAATCTATATAGAAGAGCTTGAAGCCAGCCAGGCGCCAGTGGCTCACACCTATAATCGCTGAGATCTGAGCATCACAGTTCAAAGCCAGCCTAGGCAGGAAAACTCTGTGAGACTCTCATCTCTGGTTAATCATCAGAAAACCAAAAGAAGAGCTGTGGCTCAGAGTGGTAAAACACTAGGCTTGAGAGAAAAAAAACTTCGGGGACTAGGGCCCAGGCCCTGAGTTTTAAGCTCCATGACTGACCAAAATAAACGAGCTTGAAGCAGAGATTGGAGAGATGTGGCCACAAGCCAAGGAATGCCTGCAGCCACCAGGAGCTGGAAGAGGCTGAGGATGGATTTTATTTTTCCCCATAGAGTTTCTACAGAAAGCTCAGGTCTGTCAGTATCTTGTTTTCATCCCAATGTCGAATTCTGGCTTGCAGAACTCTAACCAAATAAAGGTAAGTGGTTTTCAGCCATCACGTAGGTATTGATTGGTTTCAGCAACCTCAAGAAAAAAATGTATATCAAGACATCATCCCCTGGCTCTACCATGCAGGGTGATTGCAAACACACCCGCTGTTCATCTCTGTGGATGGGATCATTTGGAGAGCCAGTATGGGTGGAAGGGTAGGTCCTTTATGAGAAGACTTGGGCTCTGTTACTACTTAGGAGATTGGGACAAGTCTCTTGGCCTTCTCAGGGACACTTTATGACTTTAATGTCAGGATGTATTTTGGGAATTCAAAATCTTGGGAGCAAGTCCTGTAAACCTGTGACGACACTGTAAGCAGACAGGAAGCTAAGGCCTGAACCATGCAAACTACCTTGAAGATCAGCGAAGGCTTGCGTTGTTTCTATGGTTTCTGTTGTTTTTGTTTTTGTTTTTTTTTCAGTACCAGGAATCAAACCCAAGTCTTGTTTATTCTAGGTCAGAATTCTAGGCTTGTTTTTGCTATCATTGAGCTATATTCAGGTTCAAGGAGGGTGTTTTTGTTATATAAGGTGGGTATGCAACAATCTACCAAGGCCGAAGGCTGTTTTAATGATAAAGAATGCCAGGAAAGGATGCAAGGAGGCCACAAAACTGAAACCAGGGCACCAGGAGCCGTGGGGCCACAGAGATGGCTGAACTCCCATCAAGATTGCCTCTTGGCTCACTGGGGTTGTGAGTCGCTCCTGCGTTTCTCTGCAGGCAGTTTTTCTCCAGTATCTCAGCTGGCATGCTGGAAGGCGGGCCCAAGTTCAGCTCTCCTGAGCTCCATGCAATCTGTTCACTTTGCAGGACTGCTGGAGGAGAGAGACAAGAGTTGGCAAAGCCCCTCTCCTCTCCTCACTGTGGGGGAACGGTTCCCACCAGAACTTGTGTTCTAGCCTTAGGCAAGGTGGGGTGCGATCACAAAGTCCAGGTGCACTTCGGGGTGTGTCTCTTGGGGACAAAAGCACAGACAAGCCTCGGTTCCTGGTCTCAGGACAAGGACTCAGCACTTCAGCCCAGGACCACTGCCAAGAGGAAAAATAGCCAAGATCCAGGCAAAATGGAGGGGGCGGGGAGGGGTGTAACAAACTTCTCAGGACCCACAGGGTCAGAGTGAGCATGTGGCCAGGCCTCTCCCTATTAGCTGAGCAAACAATGCATTTGTCAGGAAGATGGGGCGAGGCTTCAGCCTGAGGTATATGAAGCCCGCGGGGGACCAGGTCCCAGGACCAAGCTCTGAGAAGCAGGGGAAGCATCTGCCATGAAGCTTGTAGCCGTCTTCCTGGTGCTCTGCATGGCCCTGCTGGGTGACTTTGGTGAGTGCCCCGTGGCACAGGGCAGGCATTGGAGAGGGAGTGGGTGTGTGATCCGGGAGGCTCCTCAGGATAGCTGCCCAGGTGGGAGCTTGTCTGCTTGTGCTGGCAGGTGACGCTTTCTTCGTGGACTCCGTGGTGAAGCCTGTGGCTGAACCTGTGGCTGCCCTGGCTCCGTCTGCAGTGCAAGCGGCGGTGCCCAGCCTCCCTCTCAGCTCCTACACCCTCCTCAAGATGATCCTGGCCAGCGTGGGCATCCCGGTAGAGCACCTCATAGAGGGTTCTAGAAAGTGTGTCACTGAGCTGGGCCCCGAGGCTGTAGGAGCTGTGAAGACACTGCTGGTAACACAGGCATCCTGGGTACCCCTCCTTGCATGGGCACAGTCCCTCAGCCACCCCCAAAGTCCTTCCAAGTGCCGTCCCCAGTCCCACATCAGCGGAGTCCTGGGGCCCAGTTACTTTAGATGTGAACTGGTTTGACTGACCCGTGTGTGCACATGCGTGGTGGTGATGGTGTGTCTACAGTTTGCTCCCATGGGAGGCCACTACAAGGCCAGGGTCCCCAGTCCCAGCACCCAACCCCAATCCTCTGCTCCACATCTCTCCCCAGTGCCAGCAGCCATGACTTCCCGTGTAACCTCAGGTGCCTAGGGCCTTGTGGTTGCCAGTTCTTGGTGGCAGGGGTACACTCAAGCTTGGCTTTTTTCTCCTCCCCAGGGGGCCCTGACATACTTCGGCTGAGCCGAGGCTGGGGCAACCCTGCCTGAAGACAAGATGCCCCCCCACCCCCAGCCCAGCTGCCCCATCCTGCTGTGAGGCCATCCTCCCGTTTCTCAATAAACATGGCTAAATGCAGTGTAGTAGTTGAAATTGTCGTGTCTCCAAGTCCAGGCTAGGTAAGACTGGTGCCAAGAGCAACGCACTGTAGAGCACAAGTTGGGCTTTTTTTAGGGGGGACTCACACAGATCCTCATCATGTTCTAGATCCATCGCATTCTTAACCGTGACTCCACAAAGGCTTAGAAAGGCTGAATCTTGGAACCTGGTTCATGGTAGTGCTCTAAAATACAACTTAAAAGTCGCCACTAGATTGTGTATACTCTTGTAGGCATAAGGTGCATGCTATATTCATGGTGCTTTTTAGGGTGGGTCTTCAAGCAATTATGACTAACATAGCAGTAGCTGTAAATCTTTTTATTTCCAAACTAATCAAAGCTCTACAATTCTGATTGTCTCACATCTCCCGGAGTACCCCTCAGCAACTAAGAGGTTTAACTACACCCAAGGCTCTCTGAAATGGCTCGACCAGGTCCACTTCCTCTCTTCATGTTGAAGGCAAATTAGACTAACTTTGCCAGTAAGGCTGGAAATGGCAGAAGCAGCTCTTCAAATATGCCTTAGGGTCATACTAATAAAGAGTAATAACCAGTTTCTCATGGCAGGTCCCAACCAATTTTAAAAAGCTTTAGGGTAAGATTTATAGAATGATTTGACATTTACCATTTGAAGAAAATGAGAAAAGACATTTCTTTGATTTGGAATGTTAAATGTGCTGAAGAAAATAAATGAGTTTCCAAGCTAAGCTATAATCTAGCAGTGCCTGCAATTTCCAGTTATGATTAATTTCTTAAGGTCATATGGAGAATATTACTTTGAATACTCTATCTTTGGGGGGCAAATTTGCTTATAAAAAATTTCTCCAATCCTCCAGCATCCTAGTAAAAGGCATCATTCACAGAATTCTTTTGATATACCCTGGTTTAAAATTGTGTAGTATTTGTGAACATTTTTTCCTTTGGTTGGTTACGGGGCTTGAACTCAGGACCTGGGTGCTGTCCCTGAGCCTTTTGTGCTCAAGGCTAACACTACCATTTTGAGCCACAGCTCTTTGTTTTTAGGTGGCTGACACTTTCCTAACCAGGCTGGCTTCAAACTGCAATCATTAGATCTCAGCTTCCTAAGTAGTAAGGATTACTGGCATGAGCCACTGGCGCCCAGCAAGAGCTGTTTTAAAACTGATTTAAACGTGAATCTCTACATAGCCTCACAAAAATCTCAGTACAAATTTCTTTGATACCTTAAGCCTGAAAATACTATGCTAAATATATTTTCATTTAATGTTCTGCAAAGACCACTAAAGAGAATTTATAAAGTGACTTGGCACACATAATCGCACACTTGGCTCTTTATGACAATGACATGGAAAAACATGAGCCTGGTCATAAAGGTACATCAGATTCTGTGCACATACTCATCTTAATAACTCGACATCACAACCTCTGTCTCCCAACTTGAAATGATTTCTCCCCAACCTCTACATAAAATTTACAAATGTAGTAACCGATTTGGCCCTCTTCCTGCCCCCAGGTGTGGGTGTGTGTGTGTGTGTGTGTGAGAGAGAGAGAGAGAGAGAGAGAGAGAGAGACAGAGAGAGAGAGAGAGAGAATAACCAGTCTTTCTGGCTGGCTAGCTCAGGCAGGCCTGGGACTCACTATTCTTCTGCTGTATCCTCCTTAAGAGATCAGGGGTATAAGTACTGTCTGGGTGAGAAGCCATTTCTAAAAGGCAATTTTTTTTTTCCTTAAAAAACCAAAAATCAACTGTAAGCTCACATCTGAGGCTCTGGAAAGTGACTTTTTTTTTTTTGGTCCATCTGGGCGCTGTCCCTCAGCTCTTCAGCTCAAGGCTAGCGCCCTACCGCTTGAGTCGCAATGCCACTTCTGGCTTTTTTCTGCTTATGTGGTGCTGAGGAATCGAACCCAGGGCCTCAGGCATGTAAGGCAAGCACTCTACCACTGAGCCACCTTCCCAGCCCAAGTGACACATTCTTGAAGTTTATATTTGTAAGAAAATACATTTGGCTTATAAGGTAGTTCATCAATTAGTATAAGCTTAACACAGTGTTTGCTACTGTACTTAAGAACATTTATTTAAAATAGGTCAACTTCCTTCAAAACCATGGAAGACACATGAGCCCATTCTTGTATTATGAGGTACCCACTATATACAACAAAAAGACCACTGGACGCCTAGATACTAAATCCAACTTTGGCAATGAGTGTTATACTGAATAACGTGGCCATGAAAGGGAAACGTGTTCTTATCATTCCACCACCCCAGGGCCCTGTCCCCATCCACCCTTCCCTTTGCAAAGGTGAATTACAACCCTGGTCCAGATGACGCAGATGGGCGCTGTCAATTAACACTGAGTTTTCTCAAGTCTCAGGATTACAGCTGTACAAATTACACTGTTAAAATATTTGAAACAGATATTGAATTTATTGGTTGGCTATGAGTAGGAAAATACATCGGTAAGGAAAAGAGACCCTGCATATAAATATAATACTAGCTAATTACAATTTGACCAGAAGGTTCCACTGAAAAGAACAGTAAAAGCGCTTGTTACCACCAGTTCACGTGGTAGAAACTTGGGTTTCCATTACCCTTATCCACGAGCTGCCTAGGCAAATTGACATTCTTTGAGCTTGGTGCAGATAGTGTGCTGGGTTTCGTTAGGAAAGGTAAAGAGTCAGTCCAGTGCACTGCACGATACAATATACTGTGAATAAAGACTAGATATCTATTTTACACATCACATCAGCATACTGGTTTTTAAATTTTATGTAACCAGAAAGAAGAGCAAAGTGAACATCCTAAAACACTGTTTATGGTGGGGGGGGGATGGGGGGACACAACTTTCCTTACGATATAGCATTCTCTGAATTGCCTGCAACATCTGTACTGGATAGTATGATTGACCAGTTACACCACCACACCACTGCCAACTGTCTGCCTAGGTTCACTTTTGTCTTTCCTTATACAACATGACAACCAAACCTTGAAAGTCACAATGGAAACTAATTCTCTATACTTAAACAGTAAAAAAGTGGAACTCTTAAAGCTTGAGTGTTATGTTGAAAAAGTAAATCAGAAGAGGTTTGAAACAGAAATGCATTCTACCCAAGGTAATAATGATGTCGTTAGGTTTCAAAGTGCTAACACAAACTAAGTTTTCCTGGTTGTTACCAAATCAAAAACAAAAAAAGCACATTTCTTGGAGATGTTCTTTGCCTATCTTCTGGGACTATTAAAATTGCAATAAACAATTTAATTTTACAAGTTCAGTAAAATCATGCCATATATTTTGATTTTGATGAGCATTATTTAAATTCTCAAAGCATAAATAATCACCACAAATATGGCAAAGTGTTCTTCAAAAGATTTACAAAGAAACTGAATGACTCCAAATTCTTTTTGTTTTTTGTTTTTGGGTCCGGTCGTGGGGCCTGAACTCTGGGCCTGGGCGCTGACCCTCAGCTCTTCAGCTCAAGGCTAGCACTCTACCACTTGAGCCACAGTGCCATTTCCGGCTTTTTTTCCTGCTTATGTGGTGCTGAGGAATCGAACCCAGGGCCTCATGCATGCAAGGCAAGCGCTCTACCACTGAGTCACCTTCCCAGCCCCGACTCCAAATTCTTATATCCAAAACAGAAAGCATATTCCAAATTTCCTGGGAATCATTCCTAAGATGGATTTATCCAGTAAGAACACATCAGAGAAAAACATTACATCATATATTGTTCACAGAATTTCCAAAAAATAATCTACATGGAGAACAGACTAGTTTTTTATTGCATTTTAGGAAGTATAAGATTATTGGGTATTATTCAAGGACACAGAAGATATTTAAAACATAAAACCTTGCTTTCAAAAGTAGCATTCAATTTTGGTGTGACTGACCATTCTTTATACATCCAAGTATTTTATTTCTAAATCAACATTCTCGGTTCAATTTACCTAAATAAGGTGAAGAAGCTGTTCAAACTGACCCACAGAATGTCTGGAAGAATCAAGAACAAGTATTTTTCAAGACATAACAGGCTATTATATCTTAATATGCTGCCTCCAAATTCAAATATATATAGACAGTAACAAATACAGATGAAAACGTCTTGTGTAAAGCTCAAACCTTTAGCATCTAACAAGTGCACTCTAGTTCCAGCATCTATGCAAGAGTATGTCTTCCACCAACAAATACAAACGAGTAAGTGCTTCTCCCCCCCCTCCCCTTCCCCCAAGCTCTCTGGACCTGCGCCTCCACAATGCAGGCCATAGGAAAAGCGGCTTCCTCAGTCTCATCAGTCCAACCAGCCCCCAGCTCCCCTGGCTGGAAATCGTCATGATGCACGCACATTACCAACACAGTGTTTAGGAAAAACGAGTAAACATACCTTTAATTCACACATTACCAAAAAAATAAGACAAAAGACCATAAGAATTTATGCACTGGTTCTACATCAGCAATACCAGCTTTCCAATGTACTGATTATAAACTGGATGTGTTTGGTGTCAGCACAACTTAAATACAAAGCACAAAAACAATTTTAAGGAAAAACAAAAACGAAACAAACAACAAAAACCCACCATTACAACAAAGTCTAAAAAAAAAAAATTAAAGGGAAAAATCAAGTCTCAGACAGACTGAAGATCAAAACCTTTTGAGAATTTCTTGAAAAGAAAAAAAATCATTTATTTAAACAGTATGTCATTTTATTTTCTCTAAAAACAGAATAAGCACATTAAGTGCTGAACATTTTCCATAAAATTTTAAGTCATTATCCAAAATGACTCCTCCTCTGTATAAAAACTGTTAATAACATTCAACAATTTTTCTTCTTAATGCTTATATGGTGTCCTTTTGCTCCCCTGCCTGCAGTTGAAACAAAAGCAGTTAGTCCAAACTCCCTTTGAATTCATTTGATTTGGGAGAATCAATGAATGAAAACAGAAGATACACACGTTAAGTTTGCAAAGTTAAAGCTGACTTTACATCTCTAATCTATTAATGGCACTATGGGCAAAATACAGGGTATGACATAACTTTTATCTTGGTTGACATACTAAAATGACTTAGTCACGTTAAAAATGATCTGAAGAATTGCTTTAAGGACCTATTTTGAAAATGCAATTATTTATACTGCTTCATAAATGGAAAATTACTTTAAAAAAAAGGAATGATTTAAAAAACGTGAGAACAAGGAATATACAGACAACCGAGTAGAACTCACATGATAGTAGTACTCTGGTGACAAACAGCACTGTGCAGAGACACCTAGAAGCAGTGCGTGGGTCTCATGGCCCACCCTATGTACACGCTCCAAAATGTGATATGCAATGCTTCACAATGGGAAAAAAGCCATAGCTCATACAAAAGCATTTTCATAAAATTCTCACAAATGTTTTTAAAAAATATAAAAGAAGATGCACAGATTTTCTCTGCATGCACAGGCAGTGCTCGGTGAGAACAAAGTTAGGCAGGCACAGTGGAGATAGGACAGGAAGTGTCTCAACAAGGAGTTAAGCTGGACCAAGCAGCTGTAATTTTATAACTTAAAAAAGTTAGACTTAAAAATATCAGAATGTACATATATTAACTATCATGTTCAGTCCTTAAATGCCTACAGATCATTCATTGTTCAGCTTATCTGTCCTAGTAGATAGTTTTCATAAAAATTCATGAATTCATGAGTTTTAAGTTGCCTCTGGCCCAAGAAAATGTCCTAAGGTCTAAGCAGACTTAGATTTAAAGAGCAATGTTCTCCATTTAAAAATAAAGTAGTACAAAAGGGCTAACATAACCCTAACAGTGCAAATCATTGCAGAGAAAGTCTGTTGCAACTCTTTTACAAGCTGGCCTTCAGAACACAGGAAACAGGTTTAAAAAAAATTAGCCTTAATTTACAATACAATTGTTTTCAAATCTGATTTTTTAGTACAAAATTTCATAAATCAGGTCTCTGCGGATCATATACAATCATAAAGGCTAAATTCAAATTCTATATTTTACAAACAAGTCTGAAAAAGGAGGGAGTAAAGTCTGGGAGAATGGTCTCTGGGTGTTACTACTGGCCTCAAAAAAAGTAGTGCTACAGATTTCTGTGCAAAGAGAATATGCTGTTCAAACATTTTCCTATTTCAAGGCATGAAAATATTATATTAGATAGAAGAAACAGGAAAATTACTTGTAACAAATTAAAAATAGGTGCAAACACACCAATCCCTGTCTAGCAGTATATAAAGCATATTGGGCTCAGAATTTGTCTGTTGCTAGCACCTGGCTTCTTATGATACCCTTATACCAAATAATCAGACTGAAAATTCAAATCATCATTACAAAAAATCCCCAGTGGCCATACCTCACTCCCTTATATTCAGGTTTTCACGAGCTTGCAAGTAAAACTGAGGTTGTCCTCTGAAGGTACTTGACTACCTCCTGCCAGGAAGATGAATGCCATTAACTTGGGGCAGGAAAGGCAGTAAGAGCTCCAATTGTGCAAAAAGTGAGAAGTGGTCGGAGGGGATGAGTGGATGTGGGCAGCCGGTGATGTTATTCTCAACTAGCCAATGGTGGTCCAGAGGTCCCAAGATGGCTAAAGTGTTTAGCTGAGGTTTAGAATAAAAGATGTAGTCAATTATACCCTGAAAAACAAGAATTGAAAAAAAAAAAGAAAAAAGTCCAGTAAGAACATTGAAACACTGAGTGTTTTCAAGACATCCTTACAATCAATCATGTTTGGTAAATAAGGTAATTTATTGGGGCTCTTTCCTGCCCCAGGACTTGTACATAAACTCTCTCCTATTTGGCCTCTTGTTAGCTCCTTCTCAATCTTGAAATCTTAGGTCGAATCATTTTCCAAACATCATTCTAAAACCTATCATCACTACTTATTGTCTCCAACTACTGATGTTCATCTTTTGCCTAATAGCCACGCCACGGTGTTAAGTATATATTCATCTGTGATTGAACCTGCAGAGTTTTGAGGTGAATGTTCTCTAAATGTCCACATGTTAAAGGCTTGGTGTCCCCAAGGTGATGCTTTTGGGAAGTGCTGTGGGCTTGAATGAGGTTTGGTCTTTGTTGACTTTGGTCACTGAAACCATACCCCTAGCCTGCTCTCCTTTTCCTCTGCTTTTGCACTGGCTTCTGCCAAAATGTGCTGCCTCATCAGAGAAGCCCAAAGTCACAGGGACACTCAATCATGAACTAGAACCACAACTAATGCAGGTTAAACAAACCTTTTCCTTTTGTAAGTTAATGATCTCAGATACATTGTTATAATAACAGGAAGCTGTCTAGCACAAGATGTGATTTTTCGCTTTGAACTATAGCTGTAGCACCCCTGATGACATCCAGCACTTGCAAATCCGCTGGTTTTGTGCCTTCTCTACTTGGCCAAAGGCCCTGAAGCATAGCCACACAGAAACAAGAGAGAATATAGTTTCACACTCTCCCATTCTTTGTTATCACCATTGATTCAATCAGTCTAAGAATCTAAAGGAATCTAAAGGCCTCTTAGAGACAGAGGCCATAATTTCTACGTTCTGAAATGCAGGAAACCTTGAGACTACCAAAGCTCATTTACATTCCAACAATCTAAATGGAATTCTTTTCTTCAACAATCACCTATATGAAAAACGAGGAAAGTAACCAAGAGAAGTTTCTAGATTGTATGCTACTAACTACATAAGACACATATGAATGCATTTTTTTGAACAGTAGGAATGGTTAATGCCAATCATATTTTGGCACTCACTCCAAGGTATACAGTTTCAGTTATGAGTCGAAGAATGCCTCACCTCGCCTAATACCAAACTAGATAGATACTGCAGTATTTCATTATGCACCTGTGTTAGTGATAGTGTACAAGACACAATTGGCCCCCAAAGGCAAATGCTAACTTAGGAATTGATTTACTGCCATTATTTCATCTGACTTCTTTTTCTGGAAAACATTTCAATAGGCTACCTAGAAAGTAAGGACATGAAATCAATCATATGGACCTTCACATAAAAGCACAAAGAATATTGCTGTCCATAAATTTCATTATGCACCCACATTTTAAAGGCTTACTGGTGTGCAATCCTTTGGTATAATTAATATACACTTAAAAAAGAGTAACAGGAGAAGAGTTCAAGTGTCTGCAGGAGGGTGAATGGAGAGAGTGAGGGAAGGTAAATATTATCCAACTATTTTATGTGAATGTATGAAAATAAAACAATGAAAGGTGACATTGTTTTAAGAAAGGGGGAGACAGAGATTGCTAGAGAAGGTGAGGTGGGTGGAGTACTCTGGTTTTTTTTTTTTTTTGGGGGGGGGGGGGAGGGGGTTGGGTCCAGTCCTGGGGCCTGAACTCTGGGCCTGGGCGCTGTCCCTCAGCTCTTCAGCTCAAGGCTAGAGCTCTACCACTTGAGCCGGCTTTTTTCTTTTTGCTTATGTGGTGCTGAGGAATCGAACCCAGGGCCTCATGCATGCAAGGCAAGCGCTCTACCACTGAGCCACCCTCCCAGCCCCATGGGTGGAGTACTCTGTATGCATGTATGACAATGTCACAATGAACCCCCCTGTACAGCTAGTGTATATGAATTTTTAAAAACGGAGATATTTACAAGTCTACAAATTTCAAGGCATACCTTGAAATCAAATGTGTAATTCGTGTAAGGCATCAGACCACTCTCATAGGCACTCTTTAACTTGAAACCGTGAGTGATTCTTCCATTGGTCATTCCATTCTTCCCATTGCAGCTGAAGTTTGTAAGACTTTCATTATATCTCAGTTCCTTAAAATCTTTATGATTTGTTTCTACTCCACCAGTGCTCAAATATTCTACAACACCTAAAATGAAGTGGAATGAATTCTATCATTGTCAAGTATAATATACAGCAAGAAAAATGTAATTTTAAAAAATCATGGGATAGTAGTTTAAAAACCTAAACATATTATTTCCTAAAATGTTCTGGTTTACTTAAATTTGCCAGAATTTGTCCAAATTATTTTTTTCAGGTGCCAGTCCTAGGGTTTTAACTCAAGGCTAGGCATTGTCCTTGAGCTCTTTTGCTCAAAGCTCGGGTGCTCTTCCACTTGAGCCACAGACCCACTGCAGGCTTTTTTGGTGCCTAATTAGAGATAAGCCTCTCACTGACTTTTCTGCCCAGGCTGGCTTCGAACTGCGGTCCTCAGATCTCAGCCTCCTGGGCCACTAGGATTACAGGCATGAGTGACTGGAACCCGGCAAAGAGGCTTAGTTCAGGTGGTAGAGTGCCTACCAATGAGTGTAAAGCATCAGCAAATTTGAGCCCCAGCCTCCAATGAAAAATAAAAAGGCTGTCTTCCTATACACTGATAACGCACAGGAAGAGAGGGAGCAACCCCATTCACAATAACCTCCCAAAAAATAAAATATTTAGGAATTAACCTAACCAAAGATATAAAAGAACTATTTAATGAGAACTATAAAAAGTTAAAGAAAGAAATTGCAGAAGACACTAGGAAATGGAAAGACCTCCCATGCTCCTGGATAGGCCGACTTAATATAGTAAAGATGGTGATACTTCCAAAACTAATATACAAATTCAATGCAATTCCTATTAAAATCCCAATGACGTACATCACTGAAATACAGAAAACAGTCCAAAAATTTATATGGAACAACAAAAGACCTAGAATAGCCAAAACAATTCTAGGGGATAAAGACAATATGGGAGGGCTATCCATGCCGAACTTCAAACTCTACTACAGAGCTATAATCACAAAGACAGCATGGTACTGGCACAAAAACAGACCCGAAGACCAATGGAACAGAATAGAAGATCCAGATATAAATCCACAGGCCTACAGCCAGCTGATATTCGACAAAGGAGCCAAAGACATACAATGGAAGAAACACAGCCTCTTCAACCGCTGGTGCTGGGAAAACTGGGCAGCCACATGCAGAAAACTAAAAGTGGACCCCAGCCTATCACCATGCACCAACATCAACTCAAAATGGATTAAAGACCTTAACATTAAACCTGAATCTCTGAAACTACTACAGGACAGAGTAGGAGAGACACTTGAACTAATAGGCACAGGAAGGAACTTCCTGAACAGAGTCCCAGGGTCACAAAAAGTTGGAGAGAGACTCGACAAATGGGACTACCTTAAAATAAAAAGCTTCTGCACAGCTAAATCTATCGCAACTAAGCTAGGAAGACAACCAACTAATTGGGAAAAAATATTTACCAGCAATATATCAGACAAGGGGTTAACATCCTGTATATACAGGGAACTCAAGAAACTAATCCCTCCCAAACCTAACAAACCAATTACTAAATGGGCAAGGGAACTAAAGAGGGACTTCTCAAATGAAGAAATAAAAATGGCAAAGAAACACATGAGGAAATGTTCATCATCCCTGGTGGTGAAGGAAATGCAAATAAAGACAACCCTGAGATACCACCTTACCCCAGTCAGAATGTCCCACATCCACAAATCAGCCAACGACAAATGCTGGAGGGGATGTGGAGAAAGAGGAACCCTATTACACTGCTGGTGGGAATGTATACTTATACAACCACTTTGGAAAGCAGTCTGGAGGGTCCTTAGAAAGCTAAAGATTGACCTCCCTTACGACCCAGTCATACCACTTCTAGGCATCTACCCTGAACAACAGGAACCAATATACAAGGACACGTGCACCTCCATGTTTATTGCAGCACTGTTCGCAATAGCTAGGATATGGAAACAACCTAGGTGCCCCACCACAGATGAATGGATCCAAAAATTGTGGTATCTATACACAATGGAATATTATGCAGCCATTAGAAATGACAAAATAATGGCATTTGCAGGGAAATGGATGGAGCTAGAAGGAATCATGTTGAGCGAGGTAAGCCAAGAACGAAGAGACAAACGGTACATGGTCTCCCTGATAAGTGGATGCTAAATCCAAAAGGTTAGGTGATACGACAAAACAAACAGGACTTAAGAAACAAAGAACTCCCGCTCATCTGGTTGAACCACTACTAAATATCCCCATGCTGTTGATCACAAATATGGTATATAACATGTGAACACTGTTATATATTACAGACTGTGGTAGACAATTTGCTCCAGGGAAGTTAGAATGAACTTGTGACTTTGAAATTATGTAATCATTTAAATCACAATCAAAAAAAAAAAAAAGAACCTCGGGGAAGGGAGGGAGGGAGGGGATGGTAGGGGGAAAACAATGGAGGGGGTAACAATGTTCAAGAGGAAGTGTACTCATAACCTCACTCATGTAACTGTAACCCTCTGTATAGTAGCTTTACAATAAAAAAAAAAATATCAAAACAATAAAAGAAAAAAGAAAAAGAAAAAGGCTGGGAATGTGGCTCAGTGGTAGAGTGCTTGCCTAGCATGCATGAAGCCCTGGGTTCAACTCCTCAGTACCACATAAACAGAAAAAGCTGGAAGTGGTGCTGTGGCTCAAATGGTAGAGTGCTAGCCTTGAGCAAAAAGAATATCAGGGACAGTGTCCAAGCCGAGAGTTCAAGCTCCCTGTCTGGCAAAAAGAAAAAAGAAAAAGACACAGCCCAACAAATCCATTTTTACAGTTACAATACACTGAATATTTTACCTTTTATTCATTTACATAAACAGATATGTCTTCCCAATTACCATTCTCCAATGTCTATCTAACACAATTGGGCTTAAGTATATTTGCTAAACTGGTCCTTTTGTTTTTAAAATCAGCTTTGCAACTTTGAAAAATGACTTAAACCACATCCGAGATTTCTGCTTATGCTACAAAAATTCTTAAAGGGTATGTAATCTTTATCTTGTTTTTTGTTTTTTTTTTTTTTGGGGGGGTGGTCCGGTCGTGGGGCCTGAACTCTGGGCCTAGGCGCTGTCCCTCAGCCTTTCAGCTCAAGGTTAGCGCTCTACCACCTGAGCCACAGCGCCACTTCCGGCTTTTTTCTTTTTGCTTATGTGGTGCTGAGGAACTGAACCCAGGGCTTCAGGCATGTAAGGCAAGCGCTCCACCACTGAGCCACCTTCCCAGCCCCTATCTTGGGATTTTGTAAATTTATATTGTCAACCGTGGAAGAGACCAGTTAGTGGCAAAGCAACTTCACCTTCCCTGAACATTTATTTCTCAATTTCCTACACATAAAATGAGCTCTGCAAACACATGATAATTTGTATTGCACTAGCTAGCATGACTGAACATTTTCCTAGATTTGCTACTAAAATATGGTACTTTGTAGCTAGTCATACTGTACTGAGAAACTACCAGAGAACTCTCACCTGCCTCAGAGGCAGCAATACCCAGACAGCCTAACAAAATTATAGCTCTCCAATACTTTCATTTTCCTTGAAAACAAAGATTGTAATTGTTTCTTAATGGCCATTATCTACTGCAAAGGCTATAATGTACTATCAAATTTATCTAATGTGTATATGTGTGCATTCATGCCTACAAGCAAATCTGAAAGTATTGTTTGTAAGAAAGGAGATCAATCACAAAAAAAGAACAAATCTAATTTGTTATTATAAGAACTACAGTTTGTTGCTTGTATTACTTATGGAAAACTAAGACTAGACTTGCTCTTTTTGATCTACCTGAGGTGGAAAGTCATCAAAAGGAACAAAATATGAGAATCTATAATATACAGTTGATCAACAAAAGTAGGATTATATTACCAAATGAAATCCCAAATGAGCACTGGTTTTTTCCTTTTTGAAGACAGAGTTTAGTACACCCCCAACTGGAAATTGTATTCTTCCTACTTTAGCCTCCCATGATTATGGGATTATGATTATAAGCCCACACTCTGTAATCAGCTCCCAAAGAAACTATCTAAATAACTATTTTGGAGTTTGGTTATCCATGACTTCAGGCAAGGAAAAAACTGTATGAAGTAGTGCATGCTTATAAATCTCAGCCCTTGGGATTTAACGTATAGTTCTATCTGTTCTTTATATGTTCATACTTCAAGTTAATGAGCTGAAGCTGGATGTGATAGGATGTGTCTATAGTCAGGAGGTCATGGGGGATAATAACTTGAGTCCAAGAATGTGAGATCAGCTCTTTGAACATAGAAAGAGCCCATTTTAAAACTAAAAGTTCAAGTTGACTACAATTTTTTTTCTTGGGGGTAGGGGGAAGGGAGAGACCTAAAGTGCTTTAGGCCAGGCACCAGTGACTCACAACTGAGGCTGAGATCTGACAATTGAGGTTCAAAGCCAACCTGAGCAAAGTCACTCTATAAGACTCTTTATCTCCAATTAACCACAAAAAGTGGAGCTGTGGTAGAACACTAACCTTGAGCAAAAAAGCACAGGAATAGTGCCCATGACCTATGCTCACACACACACACACACACACACACACACACACACACACACACACACAAGGTACTTTGGTACTTAGCTTTGGGGATATTTACACACATATAATGCATTTGTATGTATGTACACAATGATCTTGGGAACAGGCCAACGCATAAATATGAAGTTCACTTATGCTTCATTTATACCTTATAAATCTAGCCTGAAAGTAACTATATAGACAATTGTTTTTTTTGTTTTTTTGGTGTTTTTTTTGCCAGAACTAGGGCTTGAACTCAGAGCTTCCAGTTCTCCCGTGGCTTATTTGTTCAGAGCTGATGCTTTACTACTTCAGTCACACTTCCAGTTGACTTTATAAAATTTTAAATTTTAAATAATTTTGGGCATCAAACAGGTTTCATGGTACTGAATTATTTACCTTTTTTTTTTTTTTGGGTCCGGTCGTGGGCATGAACTCTGGGCCTGAGTGCTGTCCCTCAGCTCTTCAGCTCAAGGCTAGCACTCTACCACTTGAGCCACAGCTCCACTTCCAGCTTTTTTTTTCTGCTTATGTGTTGCTGAGGAATCGAACCCAGTGCCTCCTGCATGCAAGGCAAGCGCTCTACCACTGAGCCACCTTCCCAGCCCACTGAATTATTTACTTTTGACATCATGACAATGTTGAAAGTTTAGGACACTGGAGCAGATTGGTTTAGGGATGTCCAATATTACATGTGATTACCAGAAGATTAATGTCCAACCACCTTAAGTTTCCATAATACCACTTCATTTTCTTTCTTTCTTCCTTTTTTTTTTGTCCATTGTGGGGTTTGAATCCTGGGTCTGGGGACTGTCCCTAAGCTCTTCAGCTCAAGGTTAGTGCTATACCACTTTGAGCCACAGATCCATTTCCGGTTTTCTAGTGGTTAATTGGGAAGAAGAGTCTCAAGACTTTCCTGCCCGGGCCTGCTTTGAACTGCAATCCTCAGATTTCAGCCTCCTGAACAGCTAGGATTACAGGCATGAACCACTGGCACCAGTTTACCACTTCATTTTCAAAAGTCTCCCTACCTACCAAAAATATTTCAAATACACATGAATATTACAAACTGAATTTTTTAAACTAAATTTGAAGTGAACAGGTAAAAAAAAAATATAGTATTAAACTAGGTGCTGATTCTGCCGGGTGCCGGTGTCTCATGCCTGTAATCCTAGCTACTCAGGAGGTTGAGATCTGAGAATCACGGTTCAAAGCCAGCCCGGGCAGAAAAGTCCGAGAGACTCTTATCTCCAATAAACCACTAGAAAACCGGAAGTGGCGGTGTGGCTCAAGCGGTAGAGCGCTCCCCTTGAGCTGAAGAGCGTTTAAGTCCCATGACCGACAAAAAAAAAAGGGGGGGGGGGGAGGCTGATTCTATATAATCTTTCTTACCAGAATCTGGCAAAGAATTCAGATCTGCACATAAGACAAGTGGAATGGTTCCAAATTCTCCCAACACACTGGATTTGAGACTTCGCGAGGCTTTATCAATAATGTTCTTCACTTCTGAGAGGAACATCATAGTTTGTACCAACTTCACATCAGAGTATTCAGGGTCCCAATGCATATGAGCATTAGCCACAAGAATAAGTTGTTTTTCTGTTCCAAGATGTGGTTTGCCAGCTATATTAGAGAAAATAAGTAAAACTTGCCCGTGAGCCCACAGATTCTTACAGTCTGAAAGCAATAGTCTAAGAATAAAAAAGGGCCCTAAAATTGCCCTAATCATATCCCACAAAATCACTGAATTTGATGTACAACAAACTTGAGAAAAAATGAATATCTAAACTTCTGGTTGGTATTTCTCAGCAATGGGAGATTCACTGCTTTACACAGCCCAATGTATGTGTGTGAAACAAGGCTTTTTAGATGTCCTTCTGTAGTATCCCCAGATCCAACTGTTCAAGTGACAGTTTCCATTTTCAACATGAAAGTCACTCTAAACATACTTTCGATTTGGATTAAAAGCAATTATTAAAGTATATCAAGAGAAATGAAGCTTAGAGAAACTATCCTTGTTGGCAAGAAATCATGGAAGTGTATGGTAAATCTATTCCTAAGCAGTTATTTTAATTAATATTGACTTCACCATTTTTTTAATATGATGAATTCCAGAGAACAAAAATATTTTTCAAGAGGTTTAACACTTTTCTGGGGAACACTTTCTCATCTTTGTGACAGAGAAAGAGATAGTTTTTGGGAAAAGAAATTCTGAGTTTCTTCAGGTGTTAAGCCAAGACCATTAAGTAATGAAATTACTGTTTTTTAAGATGTCTAAGCAGAACTATTAAATTTAGAAGGTCAACTTTACAGAGGTGAAAGGATCACTCACATGACATTTCAATCAACTCCTTTCGAAGTTCTAGCAATATTGCAACTCCAATGTTATCTTTTGTCATGACTCTATTCAGCATAGCTTCAGACCCTTCTGAATTTGCCATTGCTAGCTGATTAAATTCAACAGTATGTTTCTGAACCAAAGTAAATCTAAAACAAACACAAACACAAACATACACACAAAGAATTGAGAATATCAAGCTTTATAGGAAATATTTTTCTCCCCAAATTCCCTGACATAAATAAATGGCATTAAATCTTATTATGGAAAACTTTCACAGTTAGCAGTAAGCTTCCCACACATTCACTTCAAGTTTTTTCACACTATTACTGAAACAAGTAAGACCTTGGAAAACCTTTACAATCTCATACAGTACAGTCAGTCATCCTGTTTAGATTTCACGTTGGACTATCTCGGCTTGAGATTGAAAAAATCTTTTTTTTTTTCTTCCCAAAGTACAGATTTAAGAATCCTACTGTTGCAGCAGGAATGTTAACTACATTGTATTTCAATTAACATTTGGAGTTAAAGACCTAATAAACACCTGAAGAAACAACAGCATTTAAAGCTCGTCTCCAAAACAAGGTTATTTCTGATCATTAAAAGCAATAACTCCTTATGCCAATAGTACTATATCTTAATAATACTAAGCACGTCGTTCTCTTATTTGCTAATTTCCACACCCTTCGCCTCCCCCCCACCATGTAAATGCTGAGAACATTTTCCTTTTTAAAAAACAAGGTAAGCTTACTTTTCTGTCTTGAAGAATATTGCACAGCCATCAACATGTTTTCTTTCTTGTTCTGACATTGTCCTAGCTCGTGATTTAGGACTAAAGAACCCATTATAGCCACGTTCTTTCAGTTCTACCAGGAAAAAATTATAATACTGTTCCGTTTCAACCTCCTGAAAAATTATAAACAGCAAATAACTTCACAAAATAGAATTTATGAGTGTTACACATTAATTCTGTTATGTTCACTCAATTTTCCTACGCATTAACCCTATACTTTCAGTTTGAAAGCCTGAAATCACCTTTTTCAAAGAACAGCACACAGATTAAAGAATGTTTAACATATTTTCCATTTAACTTATCTAAAATAAATTGGAACAACTTAATGACACCAGCTGCCAACATCAGTTTTTAGTCATGTAGTATAATAAATGAAGACACAGACTTCTATGCACAGACTTCTACCAGTAGACATGTTGGAAAAAGAATCACACCATAAGGAAGGAGCTTATTACACACTATGGATCAGAGGAAAAAGTCATTTGACCAAGATTATTTAAGATATGGGAGCTGGACCCAGAAGCCAGTTACTGATAAGGGCCAATACTTTTCCCACTATGTCCTAATTAGTAATATTGCTAGTCATGCAAAATTTCATCTAGGAAGTGGACATAATTTCACTAACTTTGTTGTTGCTCAATTAAAAAATAGTGACCAGGAATATTTGGGGAAGGTGAATATTTATCTGTATTTGGCAGCACAATACTACAAAATGAACAGGGTGTTTGCGGGAAAACCCAGTATTTTGAAAACTGCTGAAAGTAGGACTTAAAATGTCTGTGTGATATATTCCAGTATACCTGCACCTTGCTTTATCAATGCTGGGAGATTTTTGAAATTTAAACATTCTTCTCTATGACTTACCTGAAGACTTATAATATCAGCATTGCAGCTGAAGATTTCTTGAATAATGGCCTTTTTCCTGTAGTCCCAATTTAGTGCCCATGATGGACAGTAGCCGTATAACTGCCGGGTCGCATATTTATCACAAAGAACATTATAGCACATGACAGAAAACAAGGCTGTAGGAAAGATAACTTTACTTATTCACACACTTGGTAAAAAAATAAATAAATAAAAGCCAATAATTAATTCCAGCAATAATTACAACTTAAATGTTTAAGTCTGGCTTTAACCACTCAACCTATACTCACTGAAAACCTAGACATGGAAGAAATAAAGCAAGATGGACAATGAAAAGACACATGAGGACAAGTTAGAAGATAATGTACTTGTTGCCTGCTGCACAAGTATGCATATGAAGTTTAGAAGCAAAAAGAATAAGACCTTGAGTCTTTCAACCTCTAAATCCAAGACTTCTATGCCACCAGTTACTAATATAAGATACGGAAACTTGACAAGTTTAATAGACATGGTTAGCTTTCTTCTACAGAGCCACTATAGGTGTAACTTGGAAGATAATAAAGTTTAGCCCAATACTATCATAATAAACTAGTTTTTTGGCTTCTCAGTGTGTGTGTGTGTGTCTGTGTGAATATAATCTATATTCTATAATCTATTAAGTGTGTAACTGCACTGTCTTTTTTAAAGTACTCTACTATGAAAGTCTATTGCTAGAAAAATTCAAAGAATTATCTATAGAAATCAGACTGACTTGACAGAAGTGCCACAAACCTTCCATTGTAAAAAAACCAAAAAAGTTAACAGTATTTATATAAAACACAGCCAGGCCAGGTCAATGAAATGGGGTATGACTGTATTGCTAATTCATGCAGAAGAAAGAAGTGTCACAGACCAATTCTTGTTACATGTGACACAGACAGGAACTCTAATGCTGTCTTTTCTAAAATTCAGATTAAAAGGAGATTATATACATCATTAATTCAATTTCGTCTCTAGCTATATTATAATTTTATAGACTTGGAACATATTAGGACATGGAAATTTCCAAAACAGAAATGTCTTAGTATATGACAGCTGAATTTCAGGTGAGTAGTCTCTGTTGGTGTAAGGCTGTGCCCTGGAGGATTAGTAACACTGTACCTGAACTCTACTCAGGCCAGGAGCACAATCAAGCGTCTCCAGACATTGCTAAATGTCCTGGGGAAAAGAAAACTGCTCCAGTTTAAGAAACACTACTAGCACATGACAGAGCACATGACTTTATATAACAGAGAGTATACAGAGCAAGAAAGCAAGAATTAACTCCTTTTTTTTCCCCCCCTTTGGTGCCAGTATTGGAGCTTGAACTCATGGCCTCATGTTTTCCTTTGGCTTTTTTGCTCAGATGGTGCGCTACCAATTCCATCTTTTTGGTGGTTAACTGGAGATGAGTTGCATAGATTTATCTGCCTGGGCTGGCTTTAAAGGATAATTCTAGTATTATTACCTAACAAAATCAAGCATTCTACTTTAACATTACTAATAATCGGAATGAAATATGCCAACAATACTATTAGGCTTAAAATAAACAGGTAAAAATAAAGAGTTAAATATAAGACTACCAACCAGTTGGCCTTGTTCTGTCTGGTTCTTGTAACATAATCCAAGATCTTGGAGGTGGTTGTTCTGTTGAAACTGGTTGAAAATAGAAAACATAAAATTAAGCAATGTTCTTTCATGTCTTCCTAATTAAAAGATTTAAACAAACAAACACTTACTTCTTTTTGCAGTACCTGACAAATTATCAAGCAAGTAATTCAGTAGCCTTCTTGTTCCATCTGGTTCCTGATAGAGGTTCAATATATCCTGGGTAAGTGGATTTCCTACAAATATTTTTTAAATAGATAAACCAAGATCAGTACAAAAACACTTAATTGAAAAATATAACAAAGTTATCAGATTATCTATAAGGCTATTACACTCACCAAAAATGTACAAACTACAGAAAATTTTCGTTTCTCAGTTTTTATATAGAAAATTACAATTTATATCACAGGAGGAAGAGGATGACAGAAGGAGTGACTCAGATCAAGAACTGGATACACAGACATGGACATGTTAAGATGTAACCCACTTTATAAAGAAAATACTGTATTAAAACCTGTTGTACAACTACTTAAAGACAGTATTAATAAAAAAGAAAATACCATGTTCTCTAGAAGTACTCACTAATTATTAAAGGATTTTGTCAATCTAAATACATTCTAATAGTGCATTATATATAACCTTGCCTCACCAAAACTTTGAGTAACAAATGCTTAAGAAAGATCAAACTTGGGGGGGGGGGGGGGGCGGCGCACTGCGCAGGGAGGATTGGGTGGGGGAGGATGGGATGGGAAGAGGAAACAAAGAAGGAGGCTACAATGCTTGATAAGAAATGTACTCATTATCTTGCCCAAGTAATAGTAACTCCTCTGTACAGTATTTTCACAATAAAAAAAGAAAAAGATCAAACTTGAATGAAACTAGATTGAGAACAGAAGGTTGGGAAGAGGAATTAAAGGAGGGAAAGACAGCAATCAATACAATGAAAGGTATGAAGCAAGATTCAACAATGCCATAAAGCTAACAGAAAAACATTACAATGACAAAATTCTAAGTTATGCACCCAGATTGTGTGTGTATGTGTGCATGTGTGCGCGCACCTGTGATTGAACTCAGGGCCAGGGTGCTGTCCCTGAGCTTTTTTGCTTAAGACTAGCTCTCTACCACTTGAACCACAGCTCCACTTCAAGCCTTTTGGTGATGAATTGTAGATAAGCATCTCACAGACTTTCCGGCCTGGAATGACTTTTTTTTTTCCTCCCAGGGCTGAGGACCGAACCCAGGGCCTTGCGCACGCCAGGTGGGCGCCCTTCCACTGGGCTAAACCCCAACCCCCTGGAATGACTTTTAACCACAGTCTTCAGATATCACCTCCTGAGTAGCTAGGCTTACAGGAGTGAACAACCAGTTACCAGCTCACTTAAGATTTTTTTTTAAACTAACAGACCTAACAAGATAGCAGATTTGATTTAGTTGACTAAGGAAGAGGAAAATGGGCCATTTTTGTAAATTCAACAACTGTTTTATGAGTGCTAAAAACAAAAGCAAATATAGTAACTTACATGAATTTTCAAGAATCTCAAAAACCAGGAAGATGTTTTATGTACAAATGAGGAATAACAGTACAATGCAGTGTTCAACCAGTCAAGTTGATGTTCCACTTAAAAAAAAAAAAGTAGATAAAATTCTAGCCAAGTGCAGGTGGCTCATGCCTATCATCCTACCTACTTAGGAGGCTGAGAACTGAGGATCATGGCTCAAAGCCAGCCCCGAAAGGAAAGTCTGTGAGACTCTTATCACCAATTAACCCCCAGAAAACCGGAAGTGGCGCTGTGGCTCAAGTGGTAGTGCTGAGCGACAGTGCCCAGGCCCAGATTTCAAGCCCCATGACCCCCAACTCCCACCAAAAAAAAAAATCTATAGGTAGGTAAAATGTTAAAGGTCTTAATTATACTAACCAAAGAAAAATGAAAAGATAACTAAGAATGATGCTTTTTTCATTCTCTTATGAAAGGCAAGACAAAAAAGCAGAATGAACTAGATAAGGTGGCTCATACTTGTAATTTTAGCTACTAAGGAGGCAGAGATCATTAGGACTGAAGGTCAAGGCCAGCCCAAACAAAGTTTATGAGCTCCTGTCTTACTTAACCTATTATCTCAGCTATTTTTAAGTAGGAAGATGACAATCCAGGTGGACGTGGGTAAAAATGAGGCCTTATTAAAAAACTAATCAAATCAATAAAGGTTAGGGGACATGGCTCAGTGGTAGAACAGCTGCCTACTAAGCGCAAGCCCCTAAGCAGTGGCACTTATTCTGGAAAAACAATGACTCATGTTCATGCACAGGATGTTTAGCAGCTTAACTTGTAATATCCACAAACTGGAAGCAACCCAGATTTTATTCCAAAGGTGAATGGTTAAACAAAACATGAGACTGTTACACCATGAAACACTAATCATCAGTATAAATGAACTATTGATACACACACCAACCTAGCTAGACAACACTTAAAGAATTAATCAGTTAAAAAACAAAAACAAAAAAGCACAAAGGAACATGCAAGAACTCCATGACTCCTTTAAAAGGCAAATCTATAAATCATAAGTATACAAAAAGTGGTGCTAGCTAAAGGCATAGGGAAGATATTCAATAAACTAACAGCAGAAAATTTCCCACATCTTTTTTTTTTTGGGGGGGGGGGCTTAACTGTATTTTTTTTGTCTTTTCTTTTTTTTAGGTACTGGGGATCGAACCCAGGACGTTGCACTTGCTAGGCAAGCACTTTGCCACTGAGCTACATCCCAGCCCAAATTTCCCACATCTTAAGAAAGAGATGCCCATTCAAGTACAGGAGATCTTTAGGACTCCAAGTAGGACCAGAATAGAAACATTACATGGCGTATTATAGTTAAAATATTAAGTACAGACAAGAAGAAAAACAATGAAAGCTTCAAGAAGGGTCAAGTAATCTAAAAAGGGAAGGCCATGAGAACAGTAGATTTCTCAACAGAAACATTAGAGCAAAGAAAGCCTGAAATGATATATTTTAAGTGCTGAAAGAAAATAACTGCCAACCTAGATTACTCAACTCTCTTTCATTAATTCAATGAGAAATAAAAACCTTCCATGATAAAAGCTAAAGCAATTATGACCAGCACTGCAGAAGATAATCAAAGGAAGCTAAGTCTGCACACAGAAGAGTATTAACCTAAACCCAAACATATAAGACAAAATACTTCTCACTTAAGAAAACAAAGAGCAGAAAAGAATCAAACACTAAAGTAACAAGGAAATGGCAAGAATTACAACATACTTCTCATATTAACCAATCAATTAATTTTCTCAATTCTCCATCCAAACTACGAAATGGTAAACTGGAGTAAAAACCAAGGCTGGACCATCTGTTGAATATAAAAAATGGATCTCACAAAAACAAATACTATCTTAGGTTGAAAGTCTGGGAAAATATTTTTTAAGTGTATAGACCCTTAAAACAGGCACGAGCACCTGCACTTGTATCTGACAAAATAGACTTTAAACCCAAAATAGTTGAGGAGACAAAAAAAAGTTCACATTATACTGATAAATGGAAGGATCTATCCAGAGGAAATAAGAACTGCTAAGTACATGGGTAGTATTACTACATCCAACTTCATTAAATAAACACTACTACACTCAAAAATACAGACAGCCCTTAACAATAATGAGAGACTTCAATACCTTAATCTCACCAATAGGTAGGTAATCTTTTGGATAGCAAAAGAAACCATTACCAGAAGCAAAAAACACCCACAAAATAAGAGAAAATCTTTGCCAGCTATTCAACAGAAAAAGATATTAGAATATACATAGGGCTCAAAATTCTAAACATGGTAAAAGATCAAATTATATACATACCTACATATACATGCATACACAAATATGAAAACAGTATAATGAAAAAGAGGGAGGAATAATGGAAATGAAATGGAAGGTGAACTTTCCTAAGTTCACTGGATGTTTATATGAAACTATCACAATGAAATCTCATATTAATATATGCTAATTCAAAATAAATTTACATTAAATTTTAAGTCACCTCAAAAGGTAACACACAATAGGATTCCATTTGCAAAATTATGTATGAAGAGAATAAATCAGCAGCTGTCAGAAGGGGGAGCAGAGGAAGAAACAAAGTCTCAACACTGTAACAAAGCAACATGAAGGATCCTTTGATGATGGAAATGTTATGTGACAATTATATCTAAATATGGGGTACAATATAATGTTTCATTTTATGAACTTTCCTATGCCTTTAGCTAGCACCACTTTTTGTATGGTTATGATTTATAGATGCTGGATTTCTTGCATGCTCCTTTGTGCTTTTTTGCTTTTTTTTTGTGGGGGGGGGGGGGGGTGTCTGGTCGTGGGGCCTAAACTCAGCCTGGGCGCTGTCCTTCAGCTCTTCAGCTCAAGGCTAGCGCTCTACCACTTGAGCCACAGTGCCACTTCCGGCTTTTTTCTTTCTGCTTATGTGGTGCTGAGGAATCGAACCCAGGGCCTCATGCATGCAAGGCAAGCGCTCTACCACTGAGCCACCTTCCCAGCCCTGCTTTTGTTTTTAACTCTAATTCTTTAAGTGTTGTCTAGCTAGGTTGGTGTATCAATAGTATCATTGTGGTATGATCCAATCAGGCTATTTAACAGACCCACTACAAATACTATTTCCTTGTGGTAAGAATACTTAAAATCAGGGCTGGGAAAGTGGCTCAGTGGTAGAGCGCTTGCCTTGCATGCCTGAGGCCCTGGGTTCGATTCCTCAGCACCACATAAGCAGAAAGAAAAAAGCCGGAAGTGGAGCTGTGGCTCAAGTGGTAGAGCGCTAGCCTTGAGCTGAAGAGCTGAGGGACAGCGCCCAGGCCCAGAGTTCAGGCTCCACGACCAGACCCCCCCCCCCCCCAAAAAAAAGAATACTTAAAATCAATTCTTTTGTTCAATATGCTACTAATAACCATTATTACCATGCTGTTCAGTAGCCAGCAGACCTAGTCCTCCAACTTAAATGCAGCACCCCACCTATAGTGTCTGGCAGCCACCATTACACTCTTCAATAAATCTGATGTGTCTACATTAATGTATCAGTGACACTGTATTTTTCCCTGTGCCTGGTTTACTTGATAAAATGTACCACTGTATTTTCTGCTTGTGAGAATGCACTACAGTTTAAAAGATGTGGCCATTAAGCGAAACTGTATAATGAGCACAAAGATCATTTTGTACTACTGGTCACAAGTGCAGGTAAATCCCAAAATAAAAAGTTTAAAAGTGGGGGCTGGGAATGTGGCTTAGTGGTAGAGTGCTTGCCTAGCATGCACAAAGCCCTGGGTTCGATTTCTCAGCATCAACCACATAAGCAGAAAAGGCCAGAAGTGGCTCCATGACTCAAGTGGTGCTAACCTTCAGGAAAAGAAGCTCAGGGACAGTCCAGGCTCTGTGTTCAAGCCCCAGCCCCAGCCCCAAACCAATCCTCTCCCCTCCCCCCAAAAAAGCAATCTTAGGCTAGAACAAAAAGAAAAAGAAAAGAGAAGAAAAAACTAACACTAGTAGATATTCTGTATCTTAACCATCAAATGAGAAACACTTTGGGATGTATCTAAGAAACTGATGAGGCCTGGAAAAAAGTGAGCCAGCAAAAAAAAAATTTCCCTGATGAAAGTATTCTCTTATCTCTTTAGATTCAAAGACATATAAAACTGTAAAAAACATAAAAACAGAAGTTATACCTGTCAGGCCTAGTGTTTGCAACTGAAACAGTTTTCCCAGCTCAAAAGGTAGAACTCGTAACTGGTTGTCATTTAAACGGAGCTCCCTGTTGAGAGAAAAATTACAGAACTCAGAGGCATATTAACCTTAACACTTAAAATCAACATATATTAGGAAAATAAGTACCTAAGAACTGCAAAATTTTATATTACAATATCTAGTCTTGTGTTTATCTATATTTAATAATTTAAAAAAAAGAACTGCCAAGCACCAATCTTTGTAAAATACAGGGAAAAAAATTACATAAACAAAACACAAGCTCCTATTTTTTATTTTTATTACCAGTCCTGGGGCTTGAACTCAGGGTCTGGGTGCTGTCCTTCATCTTTTGTGCTAACGATCTACCACTTGAGCCAGAGCTCTACTTCCAGCTTTTCTGGTAGTTAACTGGAGATTAAGAATCTCACAAAGTTCCCTGCCCAGACTGGCTTTGAACTGTCACCCTCAAATCTCAGCCTTGAGGAGCTAGGACTACAGGTCTGTGAGGCCACCAGTGCCTGGCACAAGCTCCTACTTTTAAAAATTGTTGGGGTTGGCTCATAACCTCACTCATGTAACTGTAACCCTCTGTATAGTAGCTTTACAATAAAAAAAAAAAAAAAAAAAATTGTTGGGGTTGGAAGTATAACTTGAGTGGTAGGGTACCTGCCAAAGGGCATAAAGCATCAGATAGTGAGTTTCAGTCCTAGTCTCAGACAAAACAAAAACCAAAAAAAACTGTTTCACCTATTATTTATCCCACTGCAGAATAGTTTTGTAAACTGGTACAAGACCACAGCAAGGAACACTGGTCTAGTCTATGTGTAGTCTACTATATAAATTTAAGAAAATTAGTCTAGGAAGGTGGCTCAGTAGTAGAGTGCTTGCCTTGCATGCATGAGGCCCTGGGTTCAATTCCTCAGCACCACATAAGCAGAAAAAGCCACAAGTGCACTGTGGCTCAAGCGGTAAAGCGCTAGCCTTGAGCTGAAGAGCTGAGGGACAGTGCCCAGAGTTCAGGACCCACGACCAACAACACCAAAAAAAAAGATATGATAAAACAACCTAACATAAATTGTTAGAAGAGAACTAGAATGACCAATGAAGTTTAATAAACTTTTCTAGACATATTTCATTCAGAAATAACAGCAGCTGTGTTAACTACTAATAACTTTTCTGTTCAATCAGGCTTTGAACTGTGGATCCTCAGACCTCAGCTTCCTGAATAGCTAGGATTATAGGCCTCAGCCACCAGCACCCTGTATTGTTATTTATCAAACATTATCAAACCTTTAAGAGAACTATTTCTATAATCTGTTTTCTTGAAATTTAAATGGACCTTGCTTTCTTCTTAGTAACTTTAAGTCCCTGATGCCATAAACTGAACTGAGAAAGTATTTCCGAGTGATTCCTGTTTATTTTCAAATACATTATATAGAAAAAGCCCAGTAAGTCAATTTGTTTCATAAAAAAATGGTCATACTCAGATAGGCACGGATGGCTCACACCTATAATCCTAGCTATACAGAAGGCTGAGACATGAGGATCGTGGTTCAAAGCCAGCCCAAGCAGAAAAGTCCCTATAAGACTTATCTCCAATTAATCACTCAAAAACCAAAATGATGCTGTGGCTCAAAGTGGTAGAGAGCTAGCCTGAGTGAAAGAGCTCAGGGACAGAGCCCAGTTCCTGAGTTCAAGCCCTAGGACTGACAAAGAGTCATATTCATGAATTAAGCCCAGAAAAATGTCAAACGGCTAGATTTGGAATAATAGAGGCAAAGGAACTTCCACAAGATCCTTTTATTCCTGTTTTACTAGAAGGCAGCAGAAAAGCCAGAGAACCACAATAAAAAAGTGGTATAGTATAACGCCTGTTTTCACTGTATTTGATTCTGGTGCCCTGCAACTTGTATATACATTTTTCTAATTTGGGGAGGGGAAGAAAAAAACAAAATGCTTAAATAGGGATACAGGTTGACCCATTGTAACAATGAGATGTACAAGACACTCTGTTAAAAACGATCTTTACAGCTTCAGCTAGGAAGTTGTAAGGAGGTGGGGGATTGGGATGGTTGGGGAAAAACAAAGGCCCGGGGGTAACAATGCTCAATAGGAAATGTACTCATTATCTTACTCATGTAACTGTAACCCCTCTGTACATTGTCTTTACAATAAAATAGATAAATGTGTGTGTGTGTGTGTGTGTGTGTGTGTGTGTGTGTGTGGTAAATTAGATTAACCTAACAGTTGGAGAGAGTGTGTGTGTGTGTGTGTGTGTGTGTGTGTGTGTGTGTGTGTGTGTGTGTGTGTGTGTGTGTGTGTGTGTGTGTGTGTGTGTGGTAAATTAGATTAACCTAACAGTTGGAATTTGTCTTTATATTTAACTTGAGCAGATCTAATTACCATGATAAAAATGTAATACTTGTTAAAATACCTTATGTTCCAGGCAGGGTACAAGTAGCTTTTTTTTCATCTCAGATATCCCTAACTTCTAACTAAGAGGCTTCCTTAATGTCACAGAACTTATAGACAAGAAAAATCAAGATTCTAATCCAAACTCTGTGTGCCTAATTCCTTGTACCATACTACAGATCTCCAAATTCAAGAACTAATTCTAGCTTTATGTTAAAAAAATTACCCATACAAGCTCTAGGATAGTAGAAAGATCCCTCCAACTGACAAGGGCTTCCTGGCCCCACTGTTAAGAATGTATGGAGCCAGATATGGGTGGCTCACCCTGTAATCCCAGGTACTCAAGACACTGAGATCTGAGGATCTCACTGAGGATCCTAGTTCAAAGCCAGCCAGGCAGGAAAGTCTAAGATTCTTACTTCCAATTAACCACAAGGAAAACCAGAAGTGGTGCTGCAGCTTAAAGTGGTAAAGAGAAAAAAAAAAAAAAGAGCTCATAGATAGCACCCAGGCTCTGAGTTCAAGCCCCATGACTACCAACAACAACAAAAACAAAAGAATGTATGATACTCCAACTGTCTGTCACAGATGAGTATAAGGCATAACACTAGTGCCTGATAGTTGTTTTCCCCTACTTTGTCCACAAATTTTCATGTAATGGATTTAATTATTAGTCAACATTCAACACAAAACTTTCAATAAAATATATAACTATGTTTCCTTTCCTTCAAATACCATCAAAAAGAGTCTTCTTTCCTAATAAAGCTAATGATATACTTTCTTTTCTTTTAAGGGCATATAATTCCTATATAATAACTGAATCTGCATACCTGAGTGATACCATGTTTCCGAGTTCTGCCGGTAAACTACGGATTTGATTACAAGACAGGTCCAGATACACCAGATTGTGAAGCTTGGCAATGTCTGAAGGAATGCGGGACAGGGAATTGTCACTCAGATGCAAAGCTGTCAAGTGAGTCAGTGACCACAAAGATGAGCTTAAGCTTCTTACATTTCCTGTAACGGGAGAAAAAAAAGATTATATAGTGGTCTCTATGATAATTTGGTCTGTGAATTAAGATTTAGATGTCATGATTAGTAACATAACCAGAAGTATAAGAAAGGTTCACAGAGGAATCTAAACTGTTCTAGAACAACTCTACTTAGCAGATTGAAACAAAAATTTAAAGTATAACAGCACTTCAAAGACTGTATTTTTACAAGCACAAAGAATGTATCCTTTAAAATGACCTCAATTTATCATACAAACAGAATATGAATAATTTCTACTAATGATCCATCTAATATTTAAACATGACTGATTTAAATTCATGTGAAACAAAATAAAATTCCAGTGTCTCAGAGGCTGTTTTTATCTATACTTTGATGTTAAAAAGAAAAAAAGAATTCTGACTAAAAATGAAAAGGGAAACAAGGTATTCTCAGGTGAATTTTAAGACTAGAGCACCCAAGTATCCATGACCAAGAATCGTGTAAGAGGGGAAGGGGGTGGGAAAAATACAGTCATGAAATTCAATTCATATCCTACAAAATTAAGACAACTGAGGAAAGAAATGGGGTTGGATGAGAATGAAGAAATGGTTGATACTGATCAAGATGCATGGTATTAATAAACTGGGTGAATGGCAACTCCTTTGCACACTACAAATAATAAAACTACTAATAATTAAAAAAAGAATCATGTAAGCAAAATCTGTACTGTCCAGAAATATTTGCTATCAAATTATAACTATATAATCAAGTAAAAGAAGAGACAGAATTCAGGTAGAATAACATGACAGTATCTTTGAATGCAATAATAAATTTGTACTTTGTCATTTCTTGATTAAGAAGTCAATAGTTTCAACAATGTAAACTTTTTCTGTAATCGCCTTAATGGTTCAGGATCTAATCTGAAAGAAAAATGAGCAAGCACATGTAATAGAAAAAGCAACTTTTAAGAACTGATTATCATCTAGTGGCTTGAAAGCTACTTTAAGACTTACTTCTAATTTAGATGAAATAAATACCTTTTAACTCATAAGGCACTGGGTCTTTTTAGTAGTACAAATTAATCCTTGACTTATGGCTGCTCTAGTCTAAGGGAAGTTAAGATCAAGCCTCAAAAGAATGAAAATGTTTTCCAGTAACTTAACTGCATCCTATAACAACACTCAAAATCAAATCCCTTTGTACAATACTTAAAGATAAAATGACATCCCAGCTATTCCAAAGGCAGAGATGAGGATGGAAGAACAAGGCCAGCCAGAGTAAAGAGACACTCAGACCTTGAGGCTGGCTCCAGCGTCAGCATGAGATTCTATCTTTCAAAACAAAAGTGCAAGCACTCTAGAAATCAAGAGTGAAAAGGAGACACTCCTATGACTAGTAATCTGTACCAGGGCCGCAGAGAAGGGCATTTATGTTTACCTAGGGATAGGTGAAAGGACAGTATTTGTTTTGTACTTTTCAGAAGTCAAGAATTAGGACAAACAGAAAGAAGGAAGGTGGATGCATAATAAGCCAACACTGACAAGAAATTTCTTCAGCACTGGTTGCCGTGAGAAGTAAAAATGACTCTTCACCAACTCTAGAACATTTTAGATTGCATTCCTACTAGCAGGGCTGCTTGCTGAGCAAGAATAGTCCTAGTAAGTCTAGGAGTTCATTTTTTGGGGGGTGAGGGGTGGGGGTGGCGGTTGTGGGCTTGAACTCTGAGCTTGGGCACTGTCTCTGAGCTCTTCAGCTCAAGGTGAGTGCTCTACCATTTGAGCCACAGGGCCACTCTGGTTTTCTGGTGGTTAATTGGGGAGATAAGAGTCTCATGGACTTTCCTGCCCGGGCTGACTTTGAACCATGATCCTCAGATCTCAGCCTCCTGAGTAGCTAGGATTACAGGCATGAGCCACCGGCACCTGACAGAGTTCATATATTTATTTGGTACATCTAAACTGTATTCAAGATAGAAGAGAATTTGAGATCTGTTTGAAGTTCTCAAGATTTAATTTCTGAATTACTAATGTCCTCAGAGGTGCAGACTAAAAAGGAAACAAATAAGAAAAAAGAATCTATCCTCAAACATACAGAAAAGTCACTTCTTGCCCCACTGGAAGTCTTAATATTTGAAAATGCAGAAGCATAATTTTATTTAATCAAAGAATGGGTAATTTTCACTTCATCTCTGGCATTATTTTTCCCATTTTATAAATGGACACTGATACTAAGAGAAAAAACAAAGAATGGGTTTTGAATTTTGACTCAAAACCATGTTCTTTCCACCAAGTCTTCCTGTCTTTAAGGAAAATGAACACTTGTGAAATATGATCAGTTTCTTTCATGTATTGCCACAGGAAACTTATTTTCCTACCATAGCTTTCAGTCCCATACCATAAATTCATGCTTGCATGTCTTACCACTTATTTCAAGCTCTGCCCAATGTGATTTCTTTCCATTTGCTGCTTCCTCAGAGGACATAATTGTGTACATCCTCCGAGGGTCAGGTGGCTCGTATTTTTCTTTGGGCATGCCTGTGAGATGAAGAAAAGAACCCAGTAAGTATTCTGAAGAAGCAATAAATAAAAGGTAACATCTTTTTAAAGCAGGTATCTATTTATAATTTCTAAATACTACTTCCCACAAAATAAGAAACTCAAGAGTTCCTTGGAAAAAGTCGAGTTTATTTTAGTTCAACTGTGATCATTCATGGGATGTTCAGTTTGTCTTATACTTGGCCAACAGTACCCTGTTAAGCTAGGGAATGATATATTAAACCTACATGTTTGCACTTATAACAGAAATTAGAAATATAGGCTTTCATGACCATCCTAGGAAAGTCAGGGGTGTGAAACAAAAACACAAACCTAAACACAATGAGTTAAATAAAAACTATCCTGAAGCACTGAAATTATGGGTAGTCAGACTGAGTATCATTAGTGGAGAAAAGGCAATAGGGGATGAACATTCAGGAATCTACTCTCAACTCCAGAAGAGTCTCTGTGTGTGTGTGGGCAAGAGAGGGGGAGGGAGAGGGAGAAAAAGGGGGGGGGGAGAGTGTATGTGTGTGTGTGGTCTGTCTATGGTGTAGTGAGGGGATTGCAGACAGGATTTCATCAGAATCTGATGAAAAAAAAGACAAGAAAAATAAAGGAAGCAGACCAGAATGAAGATACTCATAACAACCAAGGGTAGAAAGATATACTCTCAATCCTTAGCCGAGTACATTAGGAGCTCCTTAAGTGAAGCCCTAAGTACCCTATATTTTAACAACCTCTAGTTACAAGGGAAGCAGAGTTACTGAAATCAGACTTAATGAAAGGAGGTAACAGCTTCTAGTCTACTTTTTGTGCCAAGAATGAAACTTACACTCAACCACAATCTGGAAAGCAACAAATGTCTGGGTTCTCCCATGATAAAAAAGATTTCAAACTACAAAATTGTAAACACCAAAGCTAAAATCCGCAATGATAACTGATATCTACCCAAGAAAGCATGCGCGGTGACCTCTCCCTACCTCTACAAGCAAAAGAACAGACCCATCATAAAGAAAAAACGTATCCTTTTGTCTTCTCTACTCTTACACTTAACACTTCTACAACCTGGCATGTGAAGGTTTCTCCCCCACACAACGAGCAATTGTCCAGTAATTCAGTCCAATTCTGGCACTGCCTACCTGGAGTTACAGATTCTTCAGTTTAATGTCTTGGTCCCACAATACAGACCCAACTTCAGATACCAATCACAAATAGAAGGCTGTCACTTAAAACTACTGACCAACGTCCAGTTATGAATGGGATTCCCTTTACTCCCTCCTTTGGTCCAACTAAAATGTTTCAAGAGAAACATTTTACAAGTTCACTAGTTTATTATACAAGAGTATTACAAAGGATACAAATAAACAGCCAGAAAAAGAGATATCATAGGGATACGGGAGAAGAGTTCCCCTCCCCAGGCAAGCAATCCTCACAGCAGCGTCTAGTTCATCAACTCTTATTGCTCAACAGGTTACACTACTGTTGCTGTTTGTAGTGGTGGAGATGGACCCAGCGGCTTGTATATGCTAGGCAAGCACTATTACTACATTACATCCCCAGCTCTTTTCTTACACAGGTTGGTCTCTAGCTCTTGCTAGGATTACAGGCATAACCACTGGTGCCCGGCTTAGCTCTCTTCTCTTTCTTACTGGTCTTTAAACTGGGCTGAACTTTTCAAACCTCTGATCATCAGGTGAACAACCCTTCCTGCTATTTAGGGAACCGACCATCTGAAGTCATCTCATTAGCATAAGGTAATATAAGGGACTAATATAGTATATCAAGGTAAGATAAAGGAGAACTAATGTATCAGACAGTCACTTGCAGAGGACACAGCCGCCTCCACCATGAGCCAATTCCTGCAACAAGCCCAGTAAGCAATGGATTTTGTTTCAAATCAGCCTGGAGGACACTTCCCCTTTGCCTCAGTCTCCTTGGGTGGTCCACCACAGCACACATATCCCAGACTACAATCCCATGCCATTCCCAATAAACCCTGCTTTGGAGCAGTTGTTCCCAACTTTAGACTGACCATATATTTTATGTAAGTCTTACAGCTACAAAATATTATTTAGACAAGTGTGAAAGAGTACTCTTTGGTCAAGTGTAAGGCAAATCAAAGGACTCTTTCAGACAAGCAATTACTATGAAATATACAACCTACATACTTTGTCCTAATTAAGTACAATACAACAGTACTGTTTGAGATAAGAAGGGGAGGCAACCTAGATATAAATAAAAATAAAAACATCTTATTAAGTTTCTGTCCAGCTATTCATACTATGGAAATCACATGGCTGTGAAGTTAAGTAAGGCACTGGCATCACATCGATTTATTTCACATTGTAAAATTAAGCAAATAAACACTTAATAGTTGGGAACCAGTATTTTCTGTGTAAGAGAATGCTTATGAATCAAGGAAATTAAAAACACTAAGTTGATTTAAGAATATGAATAATGCCAGGCACTGGTGGCTCAGGCCTGTAATCCTAGCTACTCCAGAGGCTGAGATTTAAAGATTACAGTTGGAAGCCAGCCTGGGCAGAAAGTTCATGAGACTCTTATCTCCAATTAACCACCAAAAGCCAGAAGTGGAGCTGTGGCTCAAGATTGCTAGCCTTGAGCTGGGAACAGTACCCAGTTCCTGAGTTCAAGCCCCAAGATCAGCATACATGTGCCCATGCATGTACATGTACACGTACACACACACACACACACACACACACACACACACACACACACACACACACCAATATACTGGGCTAGGTAGGCTGGCATGACTTAAATCACTCCTGCTCAGGGTAGAGAAGTATATGGTTAGGGTAGCCTGGGCAACAAGTCAAGGAAACCTCATCTTAAAAACAAAGCCAAGGTGCTGGGAAGGTGACTCAGTGGTAGAGTGTTTGCCTTGCATGCATGAGACCCTGGGTTTGATTCCTCAGCATCACATAAACAGAAAAAGCCACAAGTGGCACTGTGGCTCAAGTGGTAGAGCGCTAGCCTTGAGCTGACGAGCTGAGGGACAGTGCCCAGGCCTAGAGTTCAGGTCCCATGACTACCTCCCCCCCAAAAAAAAGCCAAGCATGGTTATTCATGTCTGTAATCCTATCTATTCCAGAGGGAAAAGGAGGATCAAAGTCTGAGACCAACCCAAGAAAAAGCACAAAACCGTGCCTGAGCTGGGTCTAGTAGTTCACACCTATAATCCTAGCTACACAGGAAGCTAAGATCTGAGGATCATAGTTTGAGCCAGCCCAGACAGGAAAGTCCATGAGACTCTTACCTCCAATTAACAACCAGAAAACCAGAAGTGGAGCAGTGGATCTAAGTGGTAGGGCACTAGCCTAAACCACAAAAGCTCAGGGATAGTGGCCCAGGCCTGAGTTCAAGTCCCACAAGCACAAGCACCAGCACCAGCACCAACACCAGCACCATCACCATCACCAAAAACACTAAAGTAAATGGGCTGGCTGAAGCTCAAATGATAGAACACTTACTTACCAAGTGCAAAGCCATGAGTTCAAAACAAAGTGCCAAATACAAAAATAGTATCAACAGGGGCTGGGAAGGTGGCTCAGCGGTAGAGCGCTTGCCTTGCATGCATGAGGCCCTGGGTTCGATTCCTAAGCACTACATAAGCAAAACGAAAAAAACCGGAAGTGGCGCTGTGGCTCAAGTGGTAGAGCGCTAGCCTTGAGCTGAAGAGCTGAGGGACAGCGCTCAGGCCCAGAGTTCAGGCCCCACGACTGGACCCCCCCCCCAAAAAAAAATATAGTATCAATATAAACTATTTTATTTCTAATTATCCACTGATGATTCCCAAAATGTTACCCTTAAACCTCAACTGCTAATATGGTAGCTTCCCCTTAACTGTGGAGAATATATTCCAAGAGCTCCCCAGTAGATGCATGAAACTGTGAATACAACTGAGCTCTTTACAGTTTGGAGCTTCTACATATGAAGTGGCTGAAACTTCCAATTTGTGATAGCACAGATTTCTTTCTCCTTCTTCATATCATGTGAAAAATTCATTTGTACCCTAGATCTCAGCAAATTCTGCGTAAGATTTTTTTCTTTCCTTTGAGAACTTTCACCTTTTCACTCTGAAGCATTTCATGATGTCTCTTTGACATATCCAATTTGCCAGCACCACAGTTCTTGTGTTCCAGGGACTAGATAAAATAAGGGTTAAACACCAGCACTGTGATGCCACAACAAGCTGACAGTGCTAATGGGCAGCCAGCATATACAGTGTGGAAACACTGAATAAAGGCATGATTCACTTCCTGAGTGTGGGACGGCACAAGAATTCATGCTACTCAAGATGGTGTGCATATTTAGAACCTTGACTTGAAGATTTGCCTTCTGGTGAACACAGGGGTTATTTTTTTTCCAGCTAAGTTCTATAGGCTACCTAAGCCTAAGTTCTCAAACATGAACTTTCATGGGTACTATTTTAGGACTTCCATTGTTTTCAACAACAACTGGACTACACATACCATAAATCTATATTAAAACCAGTTTCCCTCACTATCTCATTATCTAAAATGTGACTTTGATTTTTACATGTAGGGTCTCCACTCAATTCTCCACAGTAATAACTGTTTCTCCATTAAAAAAAAATCAGGGGCTGGCAATGTGGCTTAGTGGAAGAGTGCTTGCCTTGCATGCATGAAGCCTTGGGTTCAATTCCTCAGTACCACATGAACAGAAAAAGCCGGAAATGGTGCTCTGGTTCAAGTGGTAGAGCCCTAGCCTTGAACACAGAGAGGCTCAGCGACAACACCCAGGCCCTAAGTTCAAGCCCCAGGACTAACAAAAACAAAACAAAAAAACCTCCTTTTATGTGTGTGTGGGGGGGGGGGGTCCTCTCCTTGCTCTAGGAAAAAGGCATAAACCTGAAGCTTACCAAACATGATCCTTTAAATCTGGGCAGGATACAACTTTTTAAGTTCCTCTCAAGTCACTCTTGCTGTTCCAGGAACATCTCACCATTGGCCTTACCCCAACACTTGACACCTCAGCAAACTCACTGCTCCTTCTGTGGAAAATGACTCTCCTTCCTAGTTTGGCAGCTACGATTCAGTGATACTTTTTGCAAACTGGCACCATACTCTCCCCTAAATTTAATCCTTCTCTGCTCTTCCAAAGCAACTGAAATTAAGCAGTGCATATTAAGCCTATGTTCTTACTACATGTAGGTAGCAACTAAGTAGAGTCATCTTAAGTCGAGTCATCTTAAGAGTTCTGAGTCCAGGCACCAGGGCCATCATATGATAGAACTAACATGGTAACTTGAGTTACCAAGAAAATACAAATGTCAGCCATTTGAGCAAGGTAAACCAAGCCCAAAGGGCCAAGTATTGTGTTTTTGCTCACTGTGGGAACTAGACCTAAAAGAAACTTGTTTGTATATATGAAGACATAAATATAGAGAAAATATGATTGTAACTGATGGTATAAGAGAAAAAGGGAGAGAAAATAAGGGAGAATGAATAGCATCAAAATATACGGTATCTATATGACTTAAGAAAACTCACTGAGGGGCTGGGAAGGTGGCTCAGTGGTAGAGCGCTTGCCTTGCATGCCTGAGGCCCTGGGTTCAATTCCTAAGCACCACATAAGTAAAAAGAAAAAAGCCAGAAGTGACGCTGTGGCTCAAGTGGTAGAGCACTAGCCTTGAGCTGAAGAGCTGAGGGACAGCGCCCAGCCTAGAGTTCAGGCCCATGACCGGACCCAAAAAAAAAAAGAAAACTCACTGAAAGCTTTTATTTTTATTTTTTTGCCCATCCTGGGGCTTGAACTCAGGGCCTGGACTCTGTCCCTGAGCCTCTCTGTGCTCAAGGCTAGTGCTCTACTGCCTGAGCCACAGCACCACTTCCAGCTTTTTTTATGTGGTTCTGAGGAACTGAACCCAGGGCTTCATGAGTGCTAAGCAAGCACTCTACCACTAAGCCACCTTCCCAGCCCCGCCGAAAGCTTTTAAATAGGGGGCAGGGAAGATGGGGAGAGCCATAGTGAGGAACAATGAGACTAGAATACAATACATAGCATTGTAAAATTTCATGTCTAACTAATATACACTAAAAAGTGACAAATTAGTAAAACAGGCTCTGCTAGAGGGGCAGGTACAGAGGGGGAATGAAGGGTCAATGAAGCTAAATATGGTTGAAGTAATTTATAATGATAACAATATAACTGTTGACACTTTTAAAAGGGGTATAGGGGACAAAGGAGTAACAGAAGGGTAATCGTATGAAAATGTCATACTGAAAGTCCCTTGTACAACAAATATATGTAAATAAATGTTTAAATATATACAGAGATGAAGAAGGGATAAGAAGGGTAAAATTAAGGCAGCCTAAATAAGCCCCCTCCTGTTCCTCTTAACTCCTTCAAATACCAAACTCTGGTGCGTCCCATTGTATGCTAATGCATATGTGCTAAATGTACAGTGTGATTACAACTTAATGTATTCAATACTGAACTACATACAGTATTCCATCACATTTCATTTCAAGATGGTTACCTCTAAAGTGAGTAGCAGCTAAAGTTAAAGGAAAAAGTACATCAGTAAAAGATTCTGCAGATACTAAGGGACTTGAGGATTAAACTGGAGTTTCCTAGATAATACATTAAGTTCTAGTCAGAACAAGTGAATACAGCATTGTAGACCCATAAATCCAAGTCTATGCTTCATTGAAACAAACATTCTTAGCTGGACCTGTGTGGACTTTTTTCAAAGTAAGAAATACTTTAAACAAAGCTTTCTAACCAGTGGACTTTGTACTTGGGAACCGGTTACAAATGTAGCACTAACCCCTCATCTCTCATATCCCAAAGATCACAAGTATATGCTGCCTTAGTCACTTATTCCAATATACTTTACACATATTATCCTCTTCTGCTGTACTTTGATATGAAAAGTGAATGTTTTAAAGATTATGTAACTCAAGGTTATGGGGGGAAATGGGAGGAGACAATGATGGAAGGGGTGATATTGGCCAAGAAGCACTGTGCTCATAACCTGACTTTTCTGGAATTGTAACCCCTTTGTACAACTACTAAATAATGAAAAATATACACATTAATCAAGGTGTATATTTACAAACTACAAGTACTGTTGGTGAATCTCTACAATGTCTTTATTTGGAGTCAAGGCCAAGTTCTGTATATTCAAAAGAAATAGCCTGAATTGCAAACAAGATTTAATAAATCTGAAGCTGCCTATAAATTAGGCAATTAAAAGCAGCTTCCAGGCTATATCAGCACTGATCAAGGCACAATGTGAAATTACAGGAGGACTGCCTTTCAGGGGGAATGTTTAGTTTCACAGGAAAGTGTATGTCTTTTCTTACATACTTTTGTCCATTTCAGTAGGTATCTTTGTTCAACTACTGAGGAAAGACCTCATAGATCTACCTTAAATGGAAGAAGACCCTGTTCAAACAAATCTGTGGCAATTACTTCACACTTCCATGTACACTTGCCAGCAGCAGACAAAACCTGATCCTTCCCCTCAAATTATCTTGGGCAAGACACTTTCATCTTTCTAGGTCTCCTGTGCAGCTGTTCAAATGTTTTGTTTCAAGTAAGATGGAAGCAAACATTTGTCTAAAGATGCACAATTTTTACAATGAATTATTCCAAAAGGCAATCACGTTCTGAAGACTGTGACAACTGTCTAAACAATTTTAAAGTCTTCAGCACCTTTTGATCAATGCTCTTATCAGCCTCTAAAACTGTTTTGGAATGGTGGTAAATTCTAGTAGATGGTGAAGAATACAAACTACACACCATTTTACATTTATTCAGTATTCACACTCTTCCTCTCCAAAGTTAAAAAATCTCAGCTACAAGCAGGTAAGAATATTCAGCACTATCCAGTCCACCTGTAAAACAGCTAAATATAGGAACTCAAATTCAAGCAGATTATTTCAACATCAGCTTACAGTAAATCCAAGAAGGTCAGGCACTGAGTCCATTCACAATGTTGCCATTTGTTGTTTACAGTTAAAGAAAAGGAAAGATTACAGGTGTTGGGTTGGCAGGATCTTTCAGGAAGGCAAAGGAGGCGAGTCAAAGGAAGCCAAAGGGGGGGGGAGGGGGAACCCAACGACTTGGAAGTTAAAAAATAAAAACAACAAAATGAGAACGCGATTGCAGGGCGGAAAAGCAACTGCTTCCAATTATTAAGTACAATTTCCGAGTCCTCGGCACTACCATCGAATGATCTGGGGCTAAAAGTGCTTCTCTAACCATAAAATTCATCCCGATCCCTTCCCTGCCCCCCGCCCCCCTCAATGATAAGTTAAATTTAAAATACTTTTTAAGGCCAGGGCCGCTGGTGGCTCACGCCTGTAATCCTAGCGACTCGGGACGCTGTGACCTGAGGATCGAGGTTCGAAGCCGGCTCAGGCAGAAAATAAGTCAAATAAATAAATGAATTTGGAGTAAGGAGAAAACAAAACAAAACAAAACAGTCGCTTTCCCGCCTGGCGGTCACAACGTTCGTAGAGCGCAAAGTTCCACAGAGCGCAAAGCCACTTTCTCAGAAGTTGCCACCCCGTCAGGGCCCCCTGAGTCCCAGACTAGATTGTGGGGAGGGGGGCGGTGGGGGGGTGTCCCAGGAGGCAGAGTGCCCGCCCCCGCCGTCAATCAACCCCCCCAAACACTGCTGCACTTGGAGCAACGGGGGATTGGGGGGGGGGAGGGACGGGTGGCGCGGCCCGGGGAGGGGCGGGACGGCGATCTTGTCGTCCAGAGGGGAGGGGGAGGGGTCCTGGGGAAGGGTGAGGAAGGGGGGGGGACCGGGGTGACAAGCCCCACCCCCCCTCACCCCACTCCCAACCACCTGATCATCAGTCTCAGCACAGCAGTTTGGGGCCGCCATGCACAAAAACTAGAAAGTTGCCCACGACGGAGCCACGCGCGCGCACGCGCACGCGCGCGCGCCCAGGTCCGGGGCCGAGCGGACCGGAGGGAAGGGGGGGGGGCCTGGAGTGGGGGGGGGGGGCGGGAAAGAGTCCGAGCGCGGGCCGAGCGAGGCAGCAGCGCGCCCGGGGCGGGCGCGGCCTCGGGCCGGGGCTCGCTCACCTCTCGAGGAGCGACGCCTTCCTCCGCCGCCGCCGCCGCCGCCGCCGCCGCCGCCGCCTCCTCCCTGTGAGCGCAGCGGGGTCTGACCTGTGGAACCACCATACCAGTCCCGCCCGCTGCTGCAGCGCCGCCGCCGCCGCTCGTTTGCCGCCTCAGCCGCCGCTCTTTGTTCCCCCTCCGAGCGCCACCGCTTCAAGCTGCCCGCCTCCGCCGCCCCGACCGGCCGCCACTACGCCCTCCCGCTGTCTCGGCCCCCGGCCTCGCCCTCCTCGCTGCGCCCGTCGCCGCCACCGCTTTCGCCTCCGCGCCGTCGACGCCGCCGCCACCGACGCCGACGCCTCCTCCTCCGCGCCCCCCTCGTTTTCATTGAAAGCAAACAAGCATCATGGCGGCGGCCGCCTACCCCCAGCCAGCGAGCAACCCCGACCGCCACCGCCGCTCCAACATCCGGATCGCCCATTGGCCGCCGCCGTCGGGCGCGACCATCCTGCGTCGGAAGTAAGGGGGGGGGATTCGTTGTTCGCACGGCACTTGTCTCAGGCCCCGCCCCCAGCCTCCCCCCAGCACTGAGGACCATGAGCCAGTCCGACGCACTTCAGTCCTCCTTTAGTTCTTCTCTTCCCGCTCTCTTTTAAGTTTCCTTGCCCTCTCTGTTTTCGCCCCTTCCTAAGGGCCCTCCTTGCTTTATCTGGATCTGCCTTTTTCTCTGGGTGCTCGCTTTGATCTCCTTTTTTTTCTCTCGATCTTCCTCTTCTCGCGTTTTCCTCTTCCTGAGGCCTTGACCTGCTCTCACACTTCACCGTAGCCAGTGTCTTGATCTTCCTAAAGATAGAACATCCGATCTTGCACCGTCGGTTGATTTTCCTGCCTTCATTATGAAAAAAAAAAAAAAAAAAAAAGTAATGGCCCATTTCCATCCATGAATGATAATTCAGCCCAAAGAATTAATCAATGGATAGTTTTTTTGTTTTGGGTTTTTTTTTGTTTTTTTTTTTTTAGTGGTGGCGTTCTAGCCTGAATAAGCATAATAGTGTCCGAAGAACAAAGTACTCTGTTGAGGGAAAACTGGTGGTTGATGGGGCTGTGTCACATGATGTTTGCATCAGAAAACATTTGTTGACTGGCAGTTCTGGCACACAGACAATCAGACCCCACTTGTCCTGAATAACCTCCCAATCTAGGGGCACAGCACACCACAAACGTTAAACACATTAGACATGTATGCTAAAGGATATGGCAAGGACAAGAAGAGCTTCCTCCTCACACACACACACCACCACCATCACTACCCACATGGCAAACTAGGATGTACTGCTTGCTACTGGCTTTTCTCTGGAAAATCAACCCTGCAGGAATGAGTGAGGGTCCAAGTATGGGGCTAATCCCAGCTACTCCAAAGTAAAGACAGGAGGATCCTGGATTGAGGTCAGCGGTACATGAATCAAGACCCTGTCTCAAAAGCAAGCTGGGCTGGCATCTGTGGCTCATGTTTGTAATCCTAGTTATTTGGAAGTTTGAGATTGGGCAGTTGGGGCAGGAAAGTTCACAAGACCCCCTTAAGCTGGGTGCTGTGGCTGGGGCCTAAAATAGGCAAGTCACCCCAGGCCTGTGTCCAGGCAGAAGTGAGACTCTTATCTCAAACATAATGCAGAGCACAAAGGGGTTGGAAGGATGGTTAAGTGGTAGAGCACCTGCCTAGCAAGTTCAAAGTTCAAGCCTGATTATCACAAAAAAGAGATTGGGAGAAAGGGAGAGAACTGGGCATGGTGGTCTATGATATGATACTGTAATCCCAGGTACTTAGGAAGTAGAGGCTGGAGGATATCTGTCCCTGATAGGCCCCAGGCAAAAAAGTGGAAGACCCTATTTGAAAAATACAAAAAGGGCTGGAGGTGTGGTTCAAGTGGTAGTGCCTACCAAGTGAAGGCCCTGAGTTCAAGCCCCTGTTCCACAAAAAGAAAAAGCGAGAAAAGTAGATTCCAAAAAGTAATTAGAAATACACACACACACCCCTCACTGAAAGTCGGCCTTGAACTGTAAAGAATGTGGGAAATGGGTGACTGTTGCTTAGGGCTGGATAGTAGGCAGAATGAGAAAAGGACGGAGGACAAACATTCTTTCAGGATCTAGATTTTCTATATTCAGGACAGAATTTCCATACTGTCCTCTACCCAGCATTGCCTGTGGTGATCACCTGCCATTTGTGGGGACAGCAGCAGTCACAGCCCAGGCTTTTAGTGTCTGAGATACTGGAAAATGTGTCACTCCACTCCGCTAGGAGTTGGATTTTGAAATTATGTAGCCCCTCCACTAACAAAGGGTAGCAGACTGAGGGTCCTGTGAGGTTGACATCTACCTGAGTCTTTCCCATTTAAGCTGTGCACCAGCCTAGAGGAAGGGTGTAGTTGTATAACAACAATACTTAGCAGCATACTTTCCAGTCTCTTAGATCTGTGCCTCAGGTAGTGGCTGGATGTTGGATGTCTGATACCTGTGCATCTTCTAATAAAGCCCTTCTTCCTACATAAAATGCTTCAGGCTGGGAACGTGGCTTAGTTGTTGAAGGGTCCCACACACCCATCCCAGGGGGACCTGCAGAGGCAGGCAGGCACAGGAGAAAGGTTATTATAAGGTTTATTAGAGGAGTCATATTTCCCCCCAAGAGGGAGCACAAGGCCTCCGTCACCATCCAGGTAGCAGGAGGCGTCTGAGGGTTGGAAGTGAGGTAGATGGGCGCCCAGGTGGATCTGGGCGAAGAGAGAGAGGGGCCAGCTGTGTGTCGGGAACTCCAGGGATTGGAGGGGTTCAGGTCTGGGTAGAGCTGAGGACCAAAGGTGAGCATAATACTAACAGTGGCAAAGTACATGGCTATCATGTATGAAGCCTTGGGACCAATTCCTCAGTACCACATAAACAGGAAAAGCCGGAAGTGGTGCCATGGCCCAAGTGTTAGAGTGCTGGCCTTGAGCAAAAGAAGCTCAAGGAGAGTGCCCAGGCCCTGAGTTCAAGCCCCAGGACTGGCAAAAAAGAAAAAGAATGCTTCATCCTTTTGCCTTTCTGGTGGTCTCCTTTTCTGGGTAGAAGTTATCCTGGACTTTTCACTTGGATATTGGGGGATCCAATAAGGAGGAAAGGGGAGCCTCAAGATCTTTTGAAGAAGGTCACTCTCTCTGAATTCTGTCCATCAAAAAAAATTATAGGAGGACAAACATCAGGGAAGGACTGCACACACATCCAGAGAATGGTGAACTTACATGGAGTCTCCTAAGGAGATAAGCCCCACAAAATTCCTCAGGGATGGGCAGTGTTGATCAGACTACAGCCAAAAATTCACAGGGCACCAACAAATGAAGCAGGCCCTAAGGTTTTATTTGCAAGACAAACTGAACTGCTATAAGACAGAATGCATATGGTAGAAATCCATGAATAGTAGGAAAGCTTATGGAGTTTGCTTGGTGAGCCTGTAATATAAACCCTATGGAACTACTCAGGACTAGGTAGCCTGATTACCTCTTCCTAAGGTTAGAGGCTTGGTTCCAGGGACATCAAAATCCCTCATTCTTATGTAATGCCTTGGACGTTGACACATAGTGACCAGGTACTGTCACGATTTGAGGCCTCCAGGCTACAGTTTTCCTCAGACAGACAAGTTTCAGATTGCAATCATGTTTCTCTCCTATGATCCTTTGTCTCTTGATTCACTGTATTAGTCTTCGATTGATTGAATATCTAACTTTCATGGCTACAAAAAAGGATGGAAAAGAAATAATCAACTGGCTCAGATAGCCCTAAAAGGGCAGGAAGTGGTGTTTGTTTTGTTTTACCAGGTTCAAGCCCAGCAGGAAAGTAAGGGCTTCCTTCAACACTCAAAAGAAATAACCTGGCTCATGAAAGGAACACAAAGGCACAATGCCTATATGCAGCTGATCATCTAATATAATATCTATCAAAATGAACTCCAGGAAATGGAAATGAGGCTTTTGTTTCTTTGTTACTGTTTCTGACTTTTTTCTTTTTGTCTTTGGGAGGGTAAGGGGGGGCACAGAAATAGAGGAGGGGCAAAGGGTGAACTATTGCAGCAGTGGTGCTCACTAGACGCGATGTTGAACACGGACTATACAACTTGAGGGTGGGGAACTGGAGGGGAAAACTGGGATTGAGGGTAGGGATGACATTGTCCAAAAAGAAATGTACTCATTTACCTGACTTATGTAACTGTAACGTCTCTGTGCATCACCTTTATAATAACAATAAAACATTTTTTAAAGGGAATGCCCTGGAACAGACTTTAATTTCCATTCTGAACTAAATATCATGGTCAGGAGAATGTCAGAACTGGCCAGGAAGAAGTCATAAGCCCGTTTCTGGATCAGGATTGTCTTCATCCTCACCAAAGTGTATATGGAAAGAGTTGGGAGTCAAAGAAAAAGAAAAAAGAAGTGGGAGTGGGGGGGGGGGGCAGTGCAAGGAGATGATGTTGGATGGAAGAGAATCAGAAACAGAAGGGCAAGAAGGGATGGGGGCCCTGAGGTCCTCCACCTGGCTGACACTTTGCCAGTTGCTCCTCCAGGCACCTGTCTTGTCTTGGCTTCAATCCTGGTGTGTGTGGGTGGTATCAGGGGAAAAATGTCTCAATGCCTTAGAATGTGTGAGAGAAAGGAAGCTTCTATTTGGAGTTCAGGTGTGCTGCCTGAAGACTTGCCTTTTTGTGGATCCATTAGAAGAGGCCTCAAGTCTGTTTCTGTTTTTAAGTGTCTTGTCACTGGGAAAAAGATTGAACCAATTTTTCATAGCTAAACAAATAATATGTAGGGGCTAGAGGTAAAGAGCACTTGCCTAGCATATGGACTTGTGTTTCAAGACTGAAAACAAATTAGAAAAATAATAATAATCGGAGGTGGATGCCAGTGGCTCACACCTGTCATCCCTAGCTACTCAGGAGGCTCAGATCTGAGGATTGTGATTCAAAGCCAGCCTGGGCAGGAAAGTCCATGAGACTCTTATCTCCAATTAACTACCAGAAAAACTCAAGTAGAGCTGTGGCTCAAAATGCTAGATGGTTAGCCTTGAGCAAAAAAGCTCAGAGACAATACCCAGGCCCTGAGTTCAAGCCCCATGACCAACAAAAAATGAATAAAAATAGTCTGTAACCATGCTTAAAAAAATGAGAAAAGTATAAAGAAGAAAGCCCACCTAAGCTGTACTCCCCAAAGACACACATTTGGATTGATTACAATGCTTTGGCCTTAAATGAAAAAATAAAAACAAGAAAATAAGACAAACTTCAGGCTGGTTTTCTAGATAAAGATGCTTCTTGGAAACAAGAATCATGTTTTAATAATATGTGTGAATCATGTTTTAAATAATATGCCCAATATGTTTTTCTTCAACTAACAGACACCCTTTCAGGTGGAGGGGGAAAAAAAACACACCTCTAAATTGAGACTAGCAGCGTCCAGTTGTCCCATCCAGTCGAATAAAAAATAAATGAAATAAATCCGAGCACTCTGATTTGTATTTGTTGTACTCCTTCCAGGATTTTCTGATGGTTCGGGGTGTGGTATGAGAGGCAGAAAGGAGACAGGAATGGCCCTCAGGCATTTGGCCTGAGCAACTGGAAGGTAAATTGGTGTCAGCTTTGACGTAGGGCGGGGTAGATGGAGCTGTGTTTGGCACCACAAGTTACAGAGGTTCCAAAGAAAACTCGGTGATTCCTTCTGCTTAGACGTCATAAGGTGCCAACACCTCCAGGTGAGTAACTAAATC